AAAATAAAAAAGCAACCCCCCCCCCCCCCCCCCCCCCCCCCGACCAACCCGCACCTTGCTAGACGAGGCGAGCTGGTCCCACTCCGAGGCCCTGGTGAGGGCGTCCATCCACCCTTTCCCGTCCACCTCGTCGGCCGCGTACAGGTTAAGCCCGCCGCCCCCGGTCTCGCCGCCGCCCAGCACCGTCACCCGGAAGTTGACCCCGGAGACCTTGGTGACCCCCTTCACCTCGTGGACGGTGACCGGCAGCTCCGTGACGACGTACATAGGGGTGTTGTCCCGGCCTTCCTTGGGCTTCATGTCGTACACCTCCAGGGAGGACCCCACCAGGCGGTACCACATCCGCTCCTTCATCACCTGGAGGAAGTACATGTACGTACATGCATGCACACGGAAGGCGCCCGGGTCAGATAAATAGTTGGGTCGGTACGGATACAACATTTTGGAAGGTGGTCCTGAAAAGAGATCGGCACCGTTCTTAGCGTGAAGACGACGACAGTTGGCTTTGTTTCCGTATTGATTCTGTGTTTATTACTGTTTTCGTCTATTCAAGGTATTCAAAGGATCTAACCAAGACTCAAGATTTTCAAAGCATACCAAAACTCAAAGTGTCTACCTGATAATCGATCCCCTACCCCCTTTGCCAGGCCAGGCTCCAACCACCACCACCACCACCAACAAGTCAGCGTGCCGACCCCCCCCCCCCCCCAACAAAGGTCTCCTTTACGTACCATGTGTTTTCTCAGGAGCTCCCCCTCGTAGTGGCGCACGTGTCCCTTGGGCACGAAAGGCTCTATCCCCATGGTACCCCCCCACCTCGGACCGCCCCCCTCCGCCGCGCTCAATATACGTGCGACGCCCAGGCTGTTCATGAGCTGCTCGGCAAAGAAGGACTCCTGGAAGCACAGGAAGGCAGGTTGGTGTGCACAAGGTGCATACAGAAGTAGGTGCAAAGTGGTTAAATAGGGATAGGGTAAAGTTAGGGTTGGTTTTGCAGAAACAACCTGCATATGCATACGCGTGCAAAGAGTGCGTGGGTGAGTTTTGTTTGCAGATAAGTTGAGAGGTATATGTGCCAAGGTGCAGCATAACTTTGTAACCTTGTGGGTTTCATTGCAAAACAGCAAGAGGAATATGCATAAAAGGTTCAAGGTGCAGAGATGTAGGCGCGAGAAACAATCATGAGAGGAAGGCAGCCAGCCAGCTTGCCCAAAAATGTGTCCCGTGAGGTGGAGTTTAAGCAAAAACAACGGCCAAAAATGGCCAAAAATGTACTATACCCCTACGTGTGATCGTCAAAAACAGAAGCAGAGAAAGAGAAAAAATGCATCCGCGGCGGCGGGGGGCAGGAGGGTTCCGCGTTTATCAAATTAACACAGGGACACACCTGGAAATGGACGATGCGGGCGACAATGCCGTTCATCATCTTCTCGCGGTCCTCCCACGCCCGGGTCATCCGGTTGCAGCAGCTGCTCAGCTTCTTGTCGAACTCCACCGTCACCTCGTTCAGCTTTTTCGTGTTCCTTTTCGGTCGATCGAATCCAATCCATTATCCCCATCCATCCATCCATCCATCCATCGAGAGAGAGGGTGGTGGTGATGGTGTCGTCGTCGAGCAGCGAGACACACCCAGCCAGCCGCAGCAGCAAGCGGGTTCGGGGGGGTAGAGCGGGAGTGAGTGAGGACCAGCTTGCAGGAAACGGAACATGTGCAACGCACGAGCGAAACTCGCTCGGTACCCAGATCTGGGCAGCATCCAATATACACCGGCGCAACTTTTGGTGCACACTTTTGCTTTTACACACTTGTGCTTGGTGCAGACGCGCTGGCCGCGCGACACACAACGCTTGACCCAGCAACAGTAGCATACCTTTTCAGCTTCTCGGCGGCTTGTTTGGCGTCCCTGCTGTCTCCGCGCGTTGTCGCCCGGGCTTCTAGCGCTCTAGCCTGAGAATCATCAAAAAACAACAACCAACACGAAAAGCGTCGCAACACCCAACAAAGGCGGTGGAACAAGGATTCAATACTTTCCTCCGACACTCGCGATCCGTGCATGCACACGCGTAGAGGGTCTCGAAACAGCGGTCTACATGTATTCTTGCGGACCACGACAGTACAGAGAAGTTAGTTCACCGGGGAAGACGGGGAGGAACACGGGTTGAGTGAGCCACGGAGAAAAAAGAAAATGGGGAAACGAAGGTTGGGGAGCGAGTGACAGTAACCATTTTTTTTTTTTTGCATGGACTTGATTTGATACAAGCTTACGGCGAGCAGTGGTCATGGTGGTCACTAGGGCACCACCGCACAACGACGCACCTTTTGGGACAGGTCCTCGACCTTGAGACGGTAGTGGTCGTGCTGGACTCGTATCTCGTTGAAGTCCGTCACCAGGCCCTCGATGCTCTCGAGCTGGGATGTCGACATGACAGACAGGCAGACAGACAGACAGGCAGGCAAGTCAGTTAGATAAGGGTCCAAGCGATCAAATATGCCACACGTTCTCCCTACAGACCGGGGGAACACGCGGCCGGCGGGAGCGAGGCAGGGTTATCTATCTCGCATCTTGATCTCTCCGACATACCCGGTGTTGGTTCCTCGGCACACACGCGCGCAAAATCGGTACTCGTCCTTCTCCTCTCAACCATTGTAGTGATTACTTTTTCTCGCCGGGCAACATAATGGTAGAACGTCAAAACTACCGATGCCTCCCCCTCCGCCGCTGCCGGGTTAAAACGTTTCCACCCAAAAACGTTCCATGTCTTCCTACGATGCTTACTGTTTGTGTGTTGCTGCTGCGTGCGCGCATAGATACCTTGGTGGGTTCAAACCTAACCCCTAACCCGCTGCTCTTTCTCACGCCTGCTGCTGTCTGTAGCTGCCTGCAGCTTCCACTTGGTGTTTGCAAAGGGTGACCAGATCTTATCAAAACTCAAATCAACGCCTGTTGATGTCTATCGACAACTGCAGCTCGCACTTGCTGCCGGAAGGAAGGTGTACCAGTACTTGCTTGTCGCTACTCACGTCTCTGAGCCACTCTCCGATCGGCTCGACGACTCCCTTCACAAGCGCCTGCTGCAGCTGGCCGGCGTAGCCGCTGTGCCCCATGTCCTGGGCCTCCTTGAACGCCACCGCCGGCTTGAAACCCCGCTCGCGAACGAGGTAGATGTGAGAGGCGTCCTCCCCGACCCCTCTAGCGGCCTCCGTCATTCGAGCTAGCTGTTCGCAGAGAAGAGAGACAGAGAGAGAGAGAGCGAGAGAGAGAGCGGTTCAAGGGTAGGGGAAAAAATCGTAAGAATAGCTAAAATTAAATGCAACAAATTCAATACCAATTTATCCTATGCATATGCACGGAACCTGTTACCTGTGGATATATTTTGTAGGGATGGATTTTGTTGTGTTAAAAATGAAGAAAAAGAAAAAAGAAAGGAAAAAGAAAAAGAAAGGGGAGAGCGGAAAGAGGCAAAAAAGGAGAACAAAACACGGACACGGATGTTGTCGCAGAGTCTGTGGTCAAGTCAGTTCGCGCTACCTGCGCTGGGTGTTGTTTTCTGTTGCTGTGGTTTTTGTCTCCATGGCAGCAGCAGTGTGAAAGGTCCCGACCTCAATCCAGCGTGTCGCCCCGTTTTCCGTACTCTTTTTTTTTTATGTTCTTAATTTGACACAACGAATCCATCTCTGTCTGAGAGTCTAAGATAGATTAGCAATGATTTTTTTTCTTCTTCTTAATATGACACAACGAATCCATCTCTATTATCATAGAAAAGAGGCAGAGACAGATTAGCAAATATTTTCTAGGCAAAATGATTTGAACCACATATATCGTTCCAAACGAAACTGCTCAATGAAAAGTACTTCCACCCGCAAAAACTTCTTAACCCCAACAGCTATAGACGACAAGCTCATTTCCGGAAAAAATTCACAGGGCCAATCCAGGCAGACACGAGGCAAGGTTGTATAATACCGTAGGGCAAGAACTGCAAGTTCAGAAAAAACAACGATGGAACACAAATCTAGGGTGGGGAATGCATGTACATGTGTAACTCAACCTCCGCAAAATCGAGAACGCTGTCACGCCGAAAGCTCGCGTTGAGCACGTCATCACCGATGAAATCATGTCGAACGAATGCGAACACTGTACCATGGTTTGTAGTGTTGCCAAGGTGTTGCTGATTTATTCTCGTTTGTAGATATGATGTTGGAGGTAATAACAAGTCTGGATGAGTTACATATTTCGCGACGATTTCATGATCAGCGTTGCGACCTACAGCAGTACATGCATGTTTCTCTATAGATCCCCTCAAAGCAACGCACAGCAGTGATATCCCCTGAACAGATGAAACAGACGATTGCTTGGAACTGCGTACTTCAACCGGTACTACTGCTGTACGTGATGATTGTGCGATTCTTCCTTTTTTCTTTGTTTCAACTCAAGCCAGCGGTTTAGGATGTCTCTCAAGCTCTCGACTGTCTCGAAGCTTTAGATATCTACGTACCAGAGGCGAAGCCGCTGTGAAACACCAAGATAGATTGACGCGCCGAAAAAAAAAAAGAAGCGACGTCGTCGACAATACAGCCAACGCGGGTCGAACGAGGCGGTACCATGTGGGGCACATGAACGTCTTGAACACACGCTGTTGAACGGTAGATGAGGTCATGTTTTACTTTCTAAAATCTAAAAATATTTCTGGAGAGATTTTGAGAAAAAAGGAGAAGGAACGTTTGTCAAGAGGAGGGAGGAGGAGCTACCGCGTGGCGCCGAAAACAAAAAACGACATGTGTCAGACAGGTGGTTGACACTTCACAACCCATAGAACGCCAATAGAGATGACGCACGGCTCGGCTGCCAAAACGGGAACCCCCACGAGAAACAAGGGAGGCATCAGGGTGAGAGGGGAGAGAGGGGCTGCACCACCTACAGCTTTAGTTGTCATTTTTTTTTTTTCCGTCGTGCTGAGCGAGCAACGGCTCAAGGAGCGAGAGACACCGACCGACGACTAAACGTTCACGTGCGCGAGTGCCTTAGTGGCGAGGGTTAGGTGGCTGTCAGGCCTGCGAGCAGCCGTCGACGGCCGTGTCGTGAGTCTCCCCCGCCCGCGGCGAGCGGGGTGGAAACGAGTCTAAACAACCAACCCAACAGTCCCGGGGACCAAAGCAGACAGCAGCAAGCGGTTTCGGGTTGGAAAAGAAAAGGAAACCCCCCCCCAACGTAAACTAATGTTGCGCACCCTCACGTCACGCTCGCGCGTGACAATATGACCACCACCGCTGCTAGGCAAACGATGCGTGCCTCTGCACGGAGCGGCCAGCATCGCATGCTGCTGCGATCGGGGCGAACCGAGAGCAGCTATTGTATTGTTGTTGCGCAACAAGACACGAGAATCTCGACGTAACGGCCCACCCCCTCCGGACCCCAAAATATCGTTTCGAGAAATTGTCGTATGGCGAGACGCTTTTGCTCTCCTCGACTGGCGGACTACGGGTGGTTGCAAAGGGCAGACGCTAGAGGCAATGCTCTGCACTCCGGTCCGGCGGGGGTTGCACGGCGGAATAGTCAGAGGTTAGCAGGTGTCGGCAGCTATGTCTCGGGCTGGTGCCCCTATCAGCAGCGGAAGCTGCATGTGGAGATGGAGGACTATTTTCAGGGCATGAAACAACAACAAAAAACGATCTCTACAACAACAAAAAAACTCGCGCTTGTTGTTGCATCATCAGCAGCAGCCCTGGGCGATGCGTTGCAACATGTACGCGACACTACTAGCTGTGAAACGGACGACCCACCTGCAGAGCGTAGGCCGACAGGGACTCTTGCATCTCCTCGACGTAGTGCGTGAGCCAGGTGTATTTCTCGTGGGCCTCGTCGAACATGGGGCAGAATCCCACCTTCCTCAAGCCCATCTTGAGGAGGAGGCGATGCCCGATCCGGGATCGCTTGGTCGCCGTGCCGGCGGACATCTGTAGGGGACCTCTTTGCTCCACGTCTCTCCGGTTCCTCTTTCTGTTGCCCTTCTCTCGTTTCTTCCTTGGGATTCCTTGGGAGAGAAGAGACTTCTGTGCCCCAGATGATGTTGTGGAAAAAATGTGTGTGAGAGTGTGTGTGCTCCAGGTTGGTGCGCGGGCTAGACAAAGCGCGGGGGGCACGCGAAATGTAGTGACTAGTAGTGACACGCCTATCATTTTGCGGCTGGATTGGGGCCGCTGGAATGGGATCGGATCGTCCAAATCAAACACATTTTGTCTAAGAACAAAGGGCGGCATGCAGCAGCTTGAGCAGCAGCTGAATCGGCGAAGGCATAGAGATGCAGGTGAGAATGACTTGGAGGGCCTGTCGATTGCGCTGGACCTTCTTATGAGGAGGCTGTAGTCGCCTCCGGCGCACGTGTATGTACGCCGGATGTACCATTTGCTCTCGGGGTAAAAAAATTCTACAATGTAGATGATCGCGGGTACTACTGCAACTACCCGCCGACAGCGGACTTCCTTGACAGATGTCACATGCAACAGGTGCAATTGGTGTGCGAGCACAGCAAGACATGGGGGACATTGCCTTTGATAGGCTGTTGTTGAACACAACGAACGGTGTGGCATGTGGCGTACATCACACCGCCGGCGGACACACCCAACACATACTCCCAAGTTGAAAAAGTCAACCTTGGCTCCTCCCGATCTGCTATCCCTCTCACCCAACCCGCACGTGGGAGAACGATGCGATTATGTATTGTCTTGCGCGTGCAACAACACCCGTGGCTTCTTGTGGGCCTAGCGCCCAGCCTCATGTCGTCAAATCTACGCTTCGCACTTACACACGCTCCTTCCCCATCACCTTGTCTACTATAGTTTTTGTTTATAATTTTGCAGTCGGTTGGGGCACATGCTTCCAGGCGCAGGAAGTTTGAAAATGCTTCGCGCTGCCGAAACACGTGTCACACTCCGACGTCATGCCAACCATGCAAAACGTCCATGTTCCGAAGAAGCGCAGGTCAAGGCACCATTGCATACTATAATACGTCTTCGTCAAAAGTCATTGCTCACTGACGAAAAAAGAGTCAGTACACACACCACACCGATGAAAAACCAACGTCATTGAAGTTCAACATGCTCCCCTGTGCAATGAAGAAACGCGAGTACATAATTCCAAGATGTTTCGTTCCAGCCCGAAAAGTCGCTGCAGCGCACAATCCCACATGTCCCATCTTCTGCTGGCGTCACTGAACCTTCACACAGCAAGGACTTCAACACACACTCTTCACAGTAAGCCCATCATGATAGCGCACCCTTGATGGGAACATCCGCAACGTTTTGAATACTATCTGTCACAAGAGAACCCCTGCTCAGTTCCGAGGCGTCGGTAACAGCACAAGTTCGACATTACGGTGCAGTATTCCTGCTGCTGTGCCTGAGAATGCGACAGGGATCTCAAAACGTGGCGGCTGCAACCTCATTAACGTGGGGTTGTCAGGAGGGGGGGGTTCTCGGTTCGTTTGGTACAGGCGGTCATTTCATCATCTCGACGCTCACGTTCACCGAGAAAAAACAACGCCGATAACACGGTACGCAGACAGCAGTGTTGGTACATGGAGGTACTGTAGACACGGGTCGTGGACATGCCCCAGGTTTCCAGCCCTCGGCCTGCGACACACGTCCGCCTTGGGTATCATTTGTCATCCCCGTGACGTGTCTCTACGGGTGGATGTGTTTGTTCTATCTGTGCGAGGACACGTATGACATCCGGGACGCAGGCGTCTCACCCCCGCCTCATGTAGATCTTTTGGTAGATACACCGTGTCGACGTCATTTGGTAGATACACCGTTGGGGATGGAGCGAGGATACCCCGCCGACGAACGGCACACGTTTTTGTTTCTTTGCTTCCGGTGCAGTGGCCCTCCTGGTCCTGGTGCTGGGCATCGGTGCTTGCAAGGTTGCGACGACACCGTCTGTGGGCACACCAACCATTCTGTGTGTGTTCCTGACCCCCCTATCGTTGCCCTTGTATTTCCCTGCCCTGCTGGCGTCTTGTCGCGGTACATGTCTGCGTGCCGCGAAAAAAGGCGGCAACACTAGCCCGAGCCGAACCCCGCCTGGAATGAGACACCGAAGTGTCAACGTCGTGCCGGCGTTGCCAGCCTCGCCGCCGCCATCGAGAGGAGCGGCGGCGGTGGGGGCGGCGGCATCTCCCGCAACGGCGGCCGATCCCGAGCCTTCCGTGTTGGCTCCTGGCTCTCCTGCTACAACCGCTGCCGCTGCCGCCGCCGCCGCCGGCACGGGCCCGTCCCTTTTGGACGTGAGCTTCCTGGTCGCGTCGGGCGGGTGGTTGGACCTCGCCAGCGGCAAACACCTGCAGGAGGCCTCGGGCACGCTGTGCCGGGACTGCAGGGAGTACGTCGGCAGCCACCTGCGGGTGGACTACTCGACACCGCGGGCACTGTGGCCGCTCAGGACGGTCGGTGTCGTCCTCTTCGGCAAGGGCCCCGGTGGCGGCGGGAGGGTGCACGGCATCGGGAACAGCGCCGCCGCCGCGAGCGGCGGGGTCGGAGTCAGGCGGCTAGCGGGTGGGTTTATCGGGAAGGAGAACGCGGGCGGCACAGGCTACCGGACCGGCGCCAGCAGCAGCGCGAGCGGCGGAAAAGGAGGGCTGCTGTCATCGCGGTTGCAGCAGCAGTACGGCTGGAAGGGGCGGTCGATCCCTCCCCTCCGCGTGACGACGATGACTTGGGAGAGGCCGCTGAGCGACCTGGCCCACGGGCGCGCGCTCCCCCCGGGGCTCCACAGCCTGCACTTCGCGTGCAGCTTCCGCTACTTCGACGTCGGCTGGGTCTCGTTCCCCACGAGCCTGCTGAGCTTGTCCTTCGGACAGAACTTCGACCAGGTATGTATACGGTCAGCCACATAGCTAGCTATGTACCGTAGGGTCCCACAGGATACCACTCCCCTTGGACCCATCGTTCAAAGATTGATTCCTGTGCAGCGAAAGCCGTACCGGGGTCGAAAATGGCGGCGACGTTGGAAACGCCTCTCTCGTCGAGATCTTTCCGAAACGTTTATTGTAGTTTCATGTATACATCATCTTTGTCGTGGAGTAATCGAGCTTCCGCCCAGGGGGTGTGGTATCTTGCGCAACCTACGGCAGACGAGTCTGACAACCCCCCGACACTGATGTTGGTGGGTGGGTTTCCCCACTGCTGTGCGGCGGTTCAGTCGGTCGTCGTCGAAACGCTCTGCCGTACCCAGCTATTTTATTTTGCGGAGCGAGATGCAGCGCGGGCTTGAGGGGCGCAGCATACTAGAACAGGGTGTAGGGATGCGGCCGACATCAGTATGTCGCGCTTCGATGGCACGGTTTTGATTTGTCATGCTAGAGACCTCGCATGCCTCGGGCACACAACCCTCTTGACCCGTTTGCGACCCAACAAGCTCAGGCAATACCGCGACTTCAGGCTCTGTACTTCGTGCATCAGCTGGGTGTACGAAATGTATGTTCATGTACCATTTCGCCTGTTTTAGTGCCTCGGGACATATTTCGCCGGCGGAAGTCAATCTTTTCTCACGGTTCTTTCTCATGGGCACGCACGAGGGTCGTCGGTACATTACCGCGCACGCCCGAGGACCGCAACCCACCCTTGGCGCGTGTACTTGATGCCCAAAGTTAAAGAAAAACTGGCTCTATACCCCGGGGACGTGTTCCGCGGGAAGAAAGCCTTCCCAAGAAGTACAAAAACGTTTTCTGCTTTCGAAAAAACAGAAGAATTAGAGCACACAAGTCCCACAGAACATGGGCAGCACCACGGTACTACCGTAATACACAAGAGCAAGTGATCAACGCAACGCAGCGGATTGCAGCAGCAGCAGTAGGACCTGCATCAAAGACGCCGCTAAAACACACACGAATTAACGTACCCGCGAACAGCGGTCCAAGCAGCAGGAGGAGGACCTGCAGCAAAGATGCCACTAAGGCACACACAACTAACGTACACGCGAACAGCAACACCGTATGACTATACAAGAGCGAGTGGTCTTACGCAGCGGATTTAAGCAGCAGCAGGACCTGCAACAAAGACGCCGCTAAAGCGCACACACCCTCACATACACGCGAACAGCAGTCGCATCAGCAGCAGGACGACAGCAGGAGGACTTGCAAGAAAGACGCCGCTGCAGCACACACGAACTCACGTACAGGCGAACAGCAGTCTGTGAGAAACAAAAAATACACCGCCCATGGAGCAAGTTCCACGCAAATTCTGCACGTTTGTATTGTTTTCCTTAAAGAGCGCTTTAAGTCCTGGAATTTCGTTGAATCTTTACGCTCTAGAGAAATAGATCGTGACACCATTTGTTAAATGCCGAGGATCTACTGCCGTGTCTTTGCAGGCAGGAGGTTGGTCCCCATTTATCCGATCACCGATGATGCAATCAGCGGTGGTAGTAATAGCAGTCAGTCAGGAATACAGGAAGGCATCACAACATACATATCGATGTGTGTACTACGTTCAAAACAGTGGAGTTCCGCTCGAGTTATTGGTTGTGTGAACAGTTCGCCCTTCATCACGAATATTCATTTCGGAGTGAATCTTTCCAGATTGTTGGTGAACCTTTCGCCCTTCCTTGAGGTTGAATCTTTGAAGCTCACACAAAATGAGGAATACGTTGTTTGTGAATAATGCCGCTCCCATACATGTGTAGCTGAAATGAAGTGCTAATGCAGCCAGTCCCGGGTAACAGAATAGTAGGTAGCTGCTCAGAAGAGTGCGCCGATGGGTATGCGTACACACGTTATAAAGAATGAAGCTACTGGATCATGGAAAGAAACAAAAAAAAATCAACATCGTCTATTAGATTGCTCCGAGTAATATTCCTGATTGGTTTATTGAGTGGTGAACCTTTCGCCCTTGCGTTGGATCTTCACAGGTCACGCATAATATAAAATATGTTTTCGGTTATACGGTTTCTATGTACATAGATAGATACTTCAGAGTAGATCAAATGAACTTCTTGATGCAGTCAGCCTCAGGTAACAGAAGGGGTATGCGTATAGGTACCTATTGTGAAGACTCCGCTGATGGGTATACGTACGTTCTAAACCCACCCATGAGCTGGACTGGATCATCTGAAAAAAATTGTCCAAAATCACAGCACGACCGTTCCTCCTCTTAGATTCCTCGGAAAAAAAATTCAGATTGAATCTTTCTTCATCAACGATCCTTTTCTGAATGGGTATAGGTACATTAATCTATATCCAAAATCACATTTATTTGAGCTTTAGTCCTATTATTGGAATTCGTTTAATCTTTAACTCTGTTCGTTTGCGTGTGCAAACTAATGATTGAATCGCTATTGCCGATTAGCCGCCAGGGCCGCGGCTGAAATGAAGGGCTAATGCAGCCAGTCTTGGGTAACAGAAGGGGTATAGTAGGTAGCTGCTCAGAAGAGTGCGCAACGTCCACCAGTGTTCGACATTCAACTACCTGGTCACGGTTGCACCAACGACAGCCACAACAACAATAACCAAGGCGACCGTGATGACCAAAACAACGGCAACAACATCGGAAATGACAACGAACGGCAATAACCCTTCCAGTGGCTCTGACAGCAACGGGTCCTGGCATATTGTCGACGAAATTGGTGATGGTGCATGCCTACCGCGATGTATCGCCCGTCGTGTCTTCCATGATCCTAGCATGCACTCTTCGGTCCGAGGGCAACTCATCGACCACATAACGAACAACCTTCATATCCCCATCCCAGGCTCAGGTCAAAATACCTTCTTCCAGAGCATCGCAGCGGGGATATATTCAGAACACGTTCAAATAGCCGGTCATCCTCAGCAAACCTATCAAAGTGTCGCACACTACCTTCAACTCATGGCAAACCCAAGCACCTACTGAACGGGAATAGAGATTGTAGCTGCCCAACAGCAGTTGTACAACATTAACATCAAAACTACACTCGTTGGTCAACCGTACCCGCCTCCACCGTCCGATGATACGTGCGATTTATTATACGGCCACCAGCACTACCGCACGCTACGATACAACCCCTAAATTCATTTCCATTTCCTCTTGCTTCGCCCCCGGGAGGCCATTGCACCTGCATCCCGAAGGGGAGCCTTGTACATATATTATATATATATATATATATGTAGCGGTTGCGACGCCGGCGTTACCGAATTTCAAGCAGAGTCAATTGCTCCAAAATAGTCGCACACAGCGGTGTTGGGCCGGAGCTCACTGCAAGTGTAGCAGATTTTTGTTTGCTGGGGTGGTCCTATCGGTGACCCTATCAGCGAAACGTATGAGCACGATCTGTACGCAGCCTCATTTTGTACACCACCAGTCAGCATCGAACGCGGTAGTTGGTGATGAAGGAAGGACATCGGTATTCAGCGGGTAGTAAAACAAGGGTCAAAACCAGGGTCGCCGGGAGGCATGTGGATGGCCCGCCTTAAACAAAGCAGAAGAAAGCATGCGGACGAACGCGTGAGCCTAGAACCTGCTCAAAAAGCATTTCAACGGCAGGCACCCAGCCGTGCCAGGCGAAGGGCGGGTGTTCGTACGGCAGTGAATGGACAGGGGTTCAGTCGCGTAGCGTCACGCTTGTTTTGAAGCTCCTGCCTCTTTGTCATGCCTTTCCCGCCCCTTTCTCCCGGCCCTTTGGAACGCCAGGGCATCGACAGCATTGCGTGGCCGCCCTCCCTGCAGAGGCTGACGTTTGGATGGGAGTTCAACCAGGTGTATTTTATGATTGGGGTGATGTGACGTGTTCGCGGAGTAGGCTTTTCGTCCTCAATCGTGAGCGCAAACTTGGAAGGCGTTGGTTCAGGAGTCGGTGGTATGAAACAGCACAAAAGCGGGTGCGCTTTTTGCTCTGCTGGTGCCGGTGCTGTCTCTATATCCCGTTAGGGCTACATGTTGCGCTCTTGCTTCTCCCGTGCGGTTGCTCGTCGTTCGGTCTTGTGGAAGGGTTTTTTTCCCATCTGCGAAGACCGACGGACTCGAGTGGAGACCCTCCTCCCGTGCACCAACATTGCGGTCGGTTACTATGATAGTTCGACGCCGCTTTGTCGAGGACGTTGGTCAGGTTTTGGCGTAATGAACCATGTTGTTCGGTTGTGCCTTCTGGTACGGTTTTTTCCCGTCTACGAGGACCGACATGTAGCGGGACGACACGAGTTGGAGACCCTCCTCCCTGCACCAAACTTGTAGTTCGTTGAGCGTCACCACCACTTCTATCAAGGGCGTTCGCGGATGGTCCCTCAGTCTCTCGCGTCTCGAAGCAGGATGAAAGGATGACGTGCCGTTTCGGGTGGATCTGCGCGCTTTAGTCTCGCCGCGTTCGCTTTGTCCGTCAAACAACTGCTGCTGTTTCGGTTGTGTTGTGGGGAGATTGTGTGCACAAGGACGGCGTTGATAGTGCCTCGTGTATAAGCGTCCCACGTTTGCATGCCTGTCTGCTGGCTGTCTGGCCCGAAGTCATCCAACCTCAGGTTTATTTTCGTTTTTCCTGGTTTCTCGTCTGTCCGATACTCTCCATCTGCCTCCCGTGCCTCCCGCGCCTTTCAAAACCAACACAGCCACTAGACGGCGTGCAGCTACCCCCCTCCCTCAAGAAGATCACGTTCGGACAGTCCTTCGACCAGCCGATCGACCTGGTTTCTTGGCCGCTGGGGCTGGAAGACCTGACCTTTGGAGGCCGCTTCCACCAGCCCATCCACCGCGTGTCGTTCCCCCCCGGGCTGCGGAGGCTCACCTTCGGGTGGCGCTTCAACCACCCAATCGCCGACGTGCTGTGGCCTTCTTCTCTGCAGAGGCTCATGTTCGGGAGCCTGTTCAACCAGGTGCGGTTGTGCTTTTTGAGAGGGAATTCGGTGGTCCTCTCGTACTGATCACGTGCTTCCAAGATTGAAACATTCGAGGCCGCCTTGCCTTTTGCCCCCCTTCCGGTAGGCTGGGGCCCTTTGTACCTCCTACAGGTCAGTTCTCTGTCTGAGATGTACCTCCATATCCGCATGTCGAAACCCATGGAATGAATCATTTCTCGTCCCCTGTCGTCGGTTCGGTTCGTATAGGCTTGCGAAGGTGGCTTTGGTGGGGGCCCATCTGTATCCGTCCGTGTGTGTGCTTTGTGTGGCGTTGGCGTATCGGTGATCTTTGCTTTGGCATAGGCACGTCTTTCAAACCGAGCGTTCAGAACAAGAAGTTTTCTCTCTCCTCGCCGCAATCTTGCTCCGATCGATGCAACGCGTGTCCGCGATCGAATGTATCTCTCCGTTCTCGCAACAACATCGCAATCAATATTTTCCTATCGCAACGTCCCTGTTATTCCCGCTTCTCTTATCCCTTATTCCGCCGCTGTCGCAGCAGTGGCATAATCAGTCTCTCATTGCAATGTTCCTTTTATTCCTAACTCTCTGTCCTCTTGTTCCGCTCCGACGACAACCACAAACAGCCCGTACAATAAGTGTCGGGTTCCGGAAGCCTCCGCTATTTTCAGCAGCGCCTTTTGGCAACGTTCCTTTTCATCTCGATTCTCTTCTCTCTTGTTCCGCCCCGACAACAACCACCAACGGCCCGTACAACAAGTGTCGGCTTCCGAAAGCCTTCGCTTTCGCAGCAGCAGCAGCATCCGTCTTCTCCTATTGTAATATTCCTCTTTGAGAAAATATCTGTCTGTACATATTTTACGATGCATCCCCTGTAGTTTTTTCTCTACTGGGTCAACGACAAAAATGTCAGCGCGCCCTCCGTTTTGTTTGGTTTTACAAACTGCAGCCTTCGCAGGAACACGATTTTATTCTCGATTCTCTTTTTTAGCTTGTTCCGCCGCCCCAACGGCAATGACCACCAACAGCCCGTACAACTTGTGTCGGCTTTCGAAGGCCTCCGTTGTCGCGGCATCAGCACACGTAATTGGTCTCCCCTTGAACGTTCCTTTTATTCTCGATTCTCTTGTTCCGCCCTCGAAGTCACCAACAGCCCGCACAACGGGCATCGGCTTCGAAAAGCCTCCGCTTTCGCGGCAGCATCAGTCTTCTCCTGTATTGCAACGTTCCTCATATTCTCGATTTCTCGAATTCTCTCGTTCCTCCCCAACGACAACCAATGACCAACAGCCCGTCGACGGCGTCGAGTGGCCCAGGGGGCTCGAGCAGCTCCTGTTCGGAAGGGTCTTCAACCAGCAGATCCAGGGCGCCGTCTGGGCCTCCGGGCTGAGGCTCCTTGCTCTCGGCGACTTCTTCGATCAGGCCCTGACAGGAGTGGCGTGGCCCCAAAATCTTGAGTTCCTCTCCCTCGGAAACAAGTTCAACCAGGTGTGTGTGTGTGTGGGTTGTGGATAGCTTGACCACGCGCGTTTTGGCAACAAACAAAGAAAAGTGCTCAAATGTTGGAACATAAAACTTGGGGCAAACGACACAACCGGTTATGCCCTTTTTGTCAAGAAGCATCAGCTAGGCTTTGGCAACGTCAAACGGGCCTTGGTGATTGGTCAAATTCCACTTGCACCCGGCCGTGTCCCAACTAGCCCGGGGTATACCGTGCCACTCATCTCCGGAACTGTACATACCTTGATTTCGGAAACCTACCCTGACCTCACGGGTAAATGGGACCCTTTCGTCGGTCCTTTCCTCCGCAGGAATGCATTTACGCTCCAACCGCAGGATACCAACCATGAACTCTTCCCGCTCCAAAACAAACAATGGCTGGCGCACAGCACAATCCGGTGGGAAAAGCAACCGAAATTCATGTGTGAGGCATGCGAGATTCGAGTCACGCTCAGAATGTGACCGATCCAGCATGGTTGACACGTCGACTCAGTGAGATTTATGTGCCGAGGGGGTGGATATATATATATACACACACACACACGCCGACCGAATCATCATGGAAGGAGTGAGTGTACTACCCTACCTACACTTGAGGTTGCGCCGTGCAACCTACAGAATCGTGCCGGAGGAGTGGGGACTAATAAGGAGCTGCCTTCTGACCCAACATTGCGAATAGAATTTTCGGGGTGTAGTTAATATGGTCGACATGTAGATGTTGCTGGCGTGGGATGATTATAATAGGCGGGTAATTTGTTCGCCCCCACTGCCGCCACACACCCGCACATACCACATCTTTGAGTCGTGACAATGATGCTGCTTGCAACAATGCTGGATCGGTCGCGTTCTGAGCGCGACTTTAATCTCGCATGTTTCACGACGTGTCGGTTGCTTCTCCAACGGAATTGTACTGCAGCAGTAGTGGGCCCTGGAATGTGCCGGCACACGCTGAAATACCAAGTCGTTCTGTACATTGAATGGTGCCGGTGTCAGGTATTGTGCCCGCAAAATCTCTGGACACATACCGGCAACATTCAGGGCCCACTAATGTACTATGTGCCGGCCATTGGTATCCGATGGTTGGAGCGGAATCTGATTCCGAAGGAGGAAATGGCCGATTAAATGGTCCCATTTCCCGTCAGATCAGGGTACATTTCCCAAAACAGGGTAAAATTCTGGACAAAAGTAGCCGTGCCGGCTTATGGGGACACGGCAGGGTAAATGCGTATTCTTTACCAATCAGCTGGGCTGGTTTGTCGCTGCCAAATACTCCGGAGTAAGGTGTGTACCCAGCTGAGTCGCCTTTTGACCAGGGTATATACCCTTTTGTGTCGTTTGCCGAACGCATGTATGTTGTGGACCCGAACACGTGAAAAATAGAAACGAAGACATTCCTTAAGTATGCGCTTTCCCAACGCTCGGGTTTTTTGCCTGTTGGACTCGGATGACCGAGCCGCTGGACTTTCGAAAACCCACACCAGAACTTTGAGACTGAGGTCGGGGGTTGCTACCGAACGGGGCCGTGGTACCCGTGCATGATTTTCGATCGGGTAATAATTTAGGGTTGGTTCTTACCGACGCGTTATTCCGCGATATATGTCCACTGGATTGGAACGTTTGTCCAACGACGGTATGGCGAGTACTGTACTGGTACCGCTCACTGGCGTCTCTTCTCTGCCGGCTGGCCTAAATCTCTCGCCGTTGTCGCTTCGACTGCTGCTCTTGCGCGCCGTCTTGTCTCTTTCTCGTGCAGGCCGTCGACGGAGTGGCCTTCCCCTCCCGGCTGGAGCAGCTCGCCTTCGGGTGGAGGTTCGACCACCCCATCACCGCCGTCATCTGGCCGACCAACCTCAAGCTCCTGAGCTTCGACGGCGGCTTCAACCAGGACCTGAGCAGGGTGGAGTGGCCGCGAGACCTGAAACAGCTGCAGCTGGGGCGCAGCTTCAACCAGCCCATCTGCGAGGTAACCTTCCCGCGGGGGCTCCTCAGACTGGACCTGGGTGACAATTTCAACCAGGTGTGTTACATAGTTGTCAAATGATGTCGTGGGTGTGAGAATTGGAGGGAATGTGTGTTTTGTTACTCAGACTGGACCTGGGCCACAAGTGCAACCAGGCGTGTTGATTTATCGTCGGTGTTAGAATTGGAGGATTGTTCAGCTTCGGTTGGCTTGTTCTCGTATGGGTAGGCACTAAATCAAACGAACAAAATGAAAAAAAAAAATCCAGTGTGCGCTTCCTCTTGTGTGACCCCGGCTGACACGTCAGGTTTGTATTCGCCGGAAGGCCTGTAAACCGGCGCCAGAATAGATGGGACGAACACACACACAAGGTACTTGCTGACGGAATCTCCTTACGGTTAAAGTTCCTACGGTATGCCTTTGTTTGTTTGTTTTTTTTCGTATTCGTCTGCCCGCTTGTCAAGCCCGTGGAGGGGGTTCTCTGGCCGCCTTTTCTTGAGAGCCTTTCGTTCGGCCAGGCGTTCAACCACCGCATCGACGCCGAGGGGGTCGAGTGGCCGCCCTCCCTGCAGAAGCTGACCTTCGGAGGATCGTTTAACCAGGTGCCATTTGTAGGCTTGCTTGAAGGGGTATGGGGGCGGGTAGGGCACACACATGGATGGGGTGCTTGTTGACTGTTACGTAATGCGGTCTACTGTGTGCCTTTGGTGTACGTGTGAGACACAGAGAGAGAGAGAGAGACAGAGAGAGAGAGAGAGAGAGAGAGAGAGAGAGAGAGAGAGAGAGAGAGAGAGAGAGAGAGAGAGAGAGGCACACACACATACACACAACAGGGACAAGGGAACGACTAAAACACCAATGGAGGAGGAAATCATGGAGTGAAAGAGAGCAAGAGCTTCGAGCCAGATGACCTTCCTCACAACAAGCGACGCAGGGCTAGAGAAGAACTGCCGCAAAATAACTGTAATAATAGTGGCGATGAGCGTAATGGTGGTGAAAGCAAGCAGGAGTGCAAGGTAGCAGCCTTGCTTCTGTTGCTACCAGTTCTGTCTTTAATCCGGAGAGTAGCGTAGAATCCCATGACGCTCGGTCCCAGGGTCCCAGATCGTGGCCTACAGAAGCATTCTGTATTTTCCACCGCACTGAGATTGACTGACGTCTTTTCGTCGGTTAGCGCGGTCGATGCTAGTAAAAAAGACACACAGAGACCGGCAGACAAGAAGACCCAAACATGGCGTCGTTGCTCACCGCTCGCTGCGTACCGCTGCCGTCTTTTACAAACGCCGCCCTTGCTCGTGTGCATATCGCTTGGCGATATGACCCACCCACCCGCTACCCACCCGCTTACCATGTTTGCGCGTCCGGCTCTCGGCTCCACTCTTGCCTTATACTCCAGCCCGTGGAAGGGGCCAACTTTCCGACTGCCCTAGAAGAAATTACGTTTGGCAGAGAGTTCAACAAGGTGGGTGCCCTGTTTCCCCCCCCCCGCAGTGCTTCTCCATTTTTTCCGAACGGAAATCGCACAACAAGCAGCATCGAGTTCTGCGTGCGTCGTGCTTGGTCTAGTTAACTGCAGCATCTCCGGCCGTAGGTCAGGCACGTCGGTCTCCGGAGGTCTCCAACCCCCAAACCCGTCGTCTCGATCACCTTTGTGGAGGGGGAAGAGAGAGGGGTCGCGCGATTGAGCCTAGCCTCGGGGGGTAGAGTAAACGGTGATCTCCTTGGCAGGCTGCCGGCGATAATACCGGCCGCTGTCGTGTCGCCACTTAAAACATGCTGCTGTAGGCAGCAACACCCCTCAGTTCGACTCTGTTTCGTGTTGGCTCCGGCTCGCCTGCCAGCAAGTTGTCGGCGTGCCAGCACGGATGTGCCACATGTTTAGAGAGCAACTGCCGTGTGGTCGGGGGAGCGTGCGTTATTTCTTGCTGTTTCGACGGGTTGTCGATTGTCGCCATCGAAATCGTTTTGTCTGCCAATTGGCGTGTGTACGTCAGAAGCGCTGTGGTTCATCCCTCAACCGGCCCTGAGGACGCTGCGCCGTGTCTTCGGGTTGTTCCGCTGCATTGCGTTGATTGGTGTTCCCTCTAACTCTCTCTTTCTCTCTCTTCCGGAACGGTGCTCGCATGGGTTCATTAAATCCAAATCGACCGTGCTACCGGACGAACAGAACGAAATTCGCCAATCTAGTTGCGGGACATCAAACCGCGAAGAACAGCTTGCTAGTCACGTCACGTTTGCGTGTGTGTGATTTTTAGCATCGGCCGCGCTATCCGAACTTTGTTGTTTTTCTCGTATTTCCCGTACCCGCCTGTCAACACACCGCCACACCAACCCCAACGAAGGCCCACCACCGTACGCACGTCCTCGTGTTCCCACCGCAGCCGGTGTCCAAGGTCGCGTGGCCCTCGCTCTTGAAGAAGCTGGCGTTCGGCCACCGTTTCGACCCGTCGAGCCTGAACGGTCTCGTGTGGCCCGAGGGGCTCAAGGCGATACAGCTCGGCCGGGTCTCGAGGGCCGTCAACGACGACAGGCGCATCCACCCTTGGGGCGCTTGGGACGAGCCCGAAGGATGATGGGGTCGATGCCGCTCTCGAGCTGCGGCATACAATGGCTGCGGGTGCTCTCTGCCCTGCCTCCGCTGCTCCTTAGGCTTGTAAATTTTCTGTAGATATGTCTCCGAACGCGCCGGAATCGGTGTGTGTGTTGTTGTTGTGGGTGTCTTGCCTTGCGAAGCGGGAGCAGGCAACACGGCGCGACGTGTGTATGCAAGCGTAGTACGCCAGCCGCGTGTTTTGATTGGCCGCTGACCGGTTGGTCGCTAATATGTATAAACTTGCTCCTTGAGCAGCAGCAGACAGTGCGGAACGGAGTCTTCCTTGGATTCTCTTTTGCGGTTTTATTTGTCCGCGCGAACGGGCGGTCAGAGATTCCGTTCTGCCGCGCCCATCTTCGTCCCACCCTTACGCTCAGCGGTTGTTGGACCGCTTGCTGTGGGCGTTGATTTTGATTGGCTATTGTAGTTGGTACCGCTTCTCCACGGATTTTATTGAGTGGCTACAGAGGTAGAAATCAAACCATTCAAGCTGACTTCTCTACTGGTTTGATTTCAGCTTCTGTACACCTCTTCTGCACAGGTTTAATTGGTCAGGACCAGCTTTAGTCGGCCGACCGAACGCAATCGGATCGCAGAAAATCTTGCGTGACTCTCCGTACGCCGCAGCATCGCTGAGTATCTGCCAGGGTGTATTTCCCTTTTGCCTCGCTTTGTCGCAACTTTCTTTTGAGTTTAGGAATGCTTATACTTGTACAGCAATGATAATGTTTCTTGCCGGCTTTTGTTGCGAGATGATGGTAGATATGACGGTTCTTTTTTTTATTTCATTGTGCTCTCTCTGAGGGGTAGTTGCCGCCAAAACTCTCGTTCGTTGGAGAATGCACGATAAACGTCATCGTACATCCCCGTTGCGGGAATGGAATGATTGGTATACGGTAGGGTTCCTGCAGCGTTGAGCTAGCTCACTACGCGGTTTAGGGGTTGCGTCACGGGTTTCTTCCCTTACCACGCACCACGAACGGCTCAGCAACCTCCCGTCCCCCACACCGGGGGGCGCGTCGTTGGGTTCTCTTTTTCTTCGGGTGTTGCCCCCCTCCCCCCCCCCCCCCCCCCCGCCCTCCCCCGTTTATTTCCGTATCATGAATCGGAGTTTTTGCTGCATGTGAGGGGCGCTCTTCGGGTTCATACGGGGGGAATGGGGTGGGTGAGGAGGGCGTTTTCTTGGCTGACGGTTTTTCCGAAGGCGAATCGGGAGGTGTTTGTCGCGGGGTTAGGGTGTGCGCGGCGGGGCATAAATGCCGCCAAAGAACACGTGTGTGTGTGTGTATGGGTCCGCTAGCTAGCATGGCCTGACTTTTTTCTACTGTGTATATTTGATCACTTTTGCTATGCTCCGCGGGTCGGGGGTGTGTGTGTGCGCTTGTCGGGGGGTGCTTTCGGCAGGACGGGATGGGAATGGGCCTACAATACTTGACGCACAGAAAGCGCCCGCGCTCAAGAACCTCGAGGCTGGGGTTCTTAGCTGGGAAGGTCATGCTGCGAATGGCCGCTACTAGGGGGGAGTTCTTTAACGATCTTACGAACGGTGCTCAAGTTCTGAGATGTTGAGCTTTTTTGGGCTCAGTTTCTTAAGAACTGCCAAGTCCGGTTCTGATATTAGTGCGGGCGCTTTGTGTATTTTAGCGGTTGATCTAATTACGCCGATGATGCACTCGGCCAGCTGCGCGTTGAGTGTTCTCGCGAGTACTACTCCTGAAACCATGCTGGAGGAGGCATTCGAAGTTGGCTGTACTGCTTGATACGGCTTGCGTTTGGTGTTCGGTCCGAGAGTGAAGGCACACCGGCCTGAGATTGTTGTTGCTACAGGTGCCTCCCTTCGTCAAGGTGCATTTATTTCTTGGCCTGTCGTTGTTGCGGCTATGGTCTAGGCGTAGTACCTGTCTATGCATGCGGATGAGTATCATCTCGCTCCCGGATACAAAACCCGCCGCGCACCGCTGCTGCTGCTGCTCTTGCTGGTGGTAGCTCACGGTGCTTGCGCTGCTGTGATCGCAAAAGGGGGAGTGACTGGGACATGCTGGTGGTGGTCTGATTCGTTCATTTTTTCGATAGAGCTACGATAACACCAGCGGTCACAATGCCTTAATTCTGTCTGTATCTTTTTACTGAAGCTCTTTGCTGTTCGAGCGGACGTCGGTCTCCGCACCCACGTCGGTCTCCGGGCGCGCCCCGTGATGGATTTGTACACGGCAGCAGCGGTGTCGGTTCATGGTGCCCTCTGACTCGCGTTCTCAGCTCTGCATGCTCCGGCTACTTAATAATGTATCGTCTACCTAGTTCGCAGCTTAGTCTACCTCTGAAACCCATTTTTTTTTTTCATACTACATTGAGGTTTTAAGGTCTGTTGTCATTGTATGGACGGAAACCAGGCAGCAGGCAAACCGGTAGCTAGGGGCACTTTGTATGAAGAAAAACGCCATTTATCTTGGAGGTAAAATTCACTGGAACAACGTGTGAAATTCACTGCGACCACGTTTTGACCCTCCGAACAAATTGGAGTGGGGCGGTTCTTCTCTCTCACCAAGTGCATTCTTCACCGAGGGACGTTCCCGGTAGCACTTTCTTTCGTGGGTGGATGTGTGTCGGAGCGTGACTGGGTGGGGTGAATAGAAGCAAGCTGCTTGCAATGCAAGCAAGAAGCGCGCGCGCACCTCTTTGGCGCACGTTTGGCACCGAACGACGCACACGTTTGTTTGGCACCGACACAACAACAAGATTTTCATGCATGGCATGGGTGCTTTCTTTGTGAAACGGAAAAAAACCAACCTGTTCCTTCCGTGTCAACATCATCACGGAGACAACCGCTACATCCGTTGCTCATTTTTTCGAATCGTGGCAATCGTGGCCCCCTTTACTTTCTTTCTCGTGACTATCGCGGCAGCAGCACGTAGTATGACCCCGAGAGTGAATGAAAACTATTTATTTGTAGTAGCATTAATTTTGCCTTGCATAGCGTATGTTTTCGTTACCACCGTGTAGTAGCATTAATTTTGCCTTGCATAGCGTATGTTTTCGTACCACCGCGAGAAGACACAGAACAACATTGATTGGTCTAGGTAGGCCTTAGGCGGGGCGGAGTCGTGCCCATGATAAGGGGAGATAACTTCGACGACCGACACAAAGAGTCATGAGAGTCATGAGAGCATATATATTATCGCGCAAAACAACAACCTGTTGTTCGTTGCGTTTGTTGTATAGATCGATGGCGAAGAAGATGACACCTGTGCCGTTCTACATGCAGCGCGGGATTCTGAGATAAGCGCAACCAAACGCCTTGGCACTCAGTTCGTGTGCATGTACTGCTGGGCCGTCCCTGTTTGCTCACTGGTACCTACAGCTGTTGTTTCACTCGTTGTGTGGTACGTATCTTGTGTCAGTGTGTGATTATTTTTCCTTACGTCACACCGCGGTGGGTTTCCATGTTTCCATTACCTTCCCAGACATGCACTTTTTTTCCTCGCTCACATTTTGGTTAAGTGTGGGACAAGGGGGGGGGGGGGTGATGCTGCTGCTGTAGTCGAATGTAGTGTGTGGGCGTGTAGTTCAGTTTTTGGGCACGCAATCGTGCTGCAGGGATTGTAGGTGTACCTCTTCGGGCTTGTTGTGTAAGAGAGAGAGAGAAAAGGTGCCCGCAGTTTTCTGATTGGCCAATTTTTTTGACAGGAAATTTCCTTTGGTCGAAAAATCCATGGTCGACCGATGACGTCAGCCACGGTTGTGACGTCACTTCTCAACAAAATCTCGAAAAATTCAAATTCGCCGTGGGTGACTGATGATTGATGAATTTCATGTCACATCATCAGCTCGTAGCCTGATGACTTCGATAATGATTACTATTATTATAGGAGCAGTTATGAAGGAGGAGTGACAAAAAACCGATCACAGGATCTCCTTACTCACGTCACATATAGATAGCTATTCGGCGGGCCAAGCAGGAGAAGGCGAAAACTGAAAGTTGGATTTGGCTATCTCCCTACTTCCAAACAGTACCCACTTTCGCTCACACTTCTACAAATCCGGAGTAACAAACACCGTGGTTGACGATTCGCCCCAATCCGCAGATAAATTTTGTGTCTTACAATTAGATATACAAAACACAGAAATGTTGCACCACCTCAAAAAAAGACTTGCAGCACCGACGACTAGGTCATCATCCCAACAACAGCCAGGATACAGATGGTGCTACGTGGAGCAGGTGGACCAGGCCGCCCCCCTCGCAAACAGGAGTAATGGGTGGCGCTACAAAGGGCCACGAGGGGTAATGTATCGTCGCCAGGCGGTCTTCGGAACAGGATACAGGGTTCGTATCTTGGCCTCGTCCCATGGACCGGGATATAGATGGTTCAACTCGCACCCCGTTGGAGGCGATCCTTCGCTGGTCAACTTTCAATCCTGGGCAAGAAGGATGTGGCGGCGCGGTTTGGTCCACCCGAGAGACGCCGAGGCGTGGAAAACCGCCTTCATCGACATTGAGGGTGGTGGCCAAGGACAGCTTGTTGTTTCGGCGGCAGATGATACCTGGCGAGTGATCCTCTGCTGGGCATCAGCTGGCAGGAGGATCGAAGTCGATCCCCGAGGCATCCCGTTCTCTCTCGTGGACCTTCAGGTCCGATCTGGCATTGACTCACAGAGTCCGCGTTTCAGACAACTGAACATAGCGTCCTTCGGGCACAGGCTTGTGCAGTATACTCCCATGACCACCTTCGGCAAAATATGGCAAGAACAACTCCCCGGAGCCTGCCTCGCTGTCCTCATCGCCGACGCGTGGCGCGACAGTCAAGTCGACCTGCTGACGAGGGAGCGGAGGAGATTTGGATTCCGCGATGTAGACCTCACCGGTGCGTTTGTGATCTCATCTGGTGGTGGTCGACCAAAAAAGGGTTCGCCTGTACAAAACAAGAACGCTCTTGACGGCGGGAACTACTTCCGCAACCTGTATTCGATCCTGCTGGAGCGAGACATCGGGGAAGAAGAGTTCGACACATGGGTTTCGGGGGATACCAAACCACCTCCACTGACGTTACGCCATCTCCACAAATGGCTCAATACGAACAAGGCTAACGTCGTTGTGTGGTCACACAGGGGCACTGGCGCCGATGTTGCTGGGCCATCTGACGAGAAAACGAATCTCCGACCGCCCACATTGCACGTTGGGGTTCGTGAGGGACACGTTTACCGGCTGGTGCTCGTGGGGCCTTGGAGGGAGCGGTTTGGATCACCTATAGACGTGACCATCGAAAACGGCATTCGAACCCACCGTAGATTCCGTCGAATTGCCGAGACGACCGAAGAGGAAGAGGAACCGGATAGGACTGGTTGTGGAACCAAGACATTCTCGTGTGTCGCTGACATTGTGAGTGACATCCTGGCCAACAATCAAACAGAGGAGGAAGACCACCACCAAGAGATGGCGCAGAAAAAGCGGAAGCGTGAAAAAGCATCAGAGCCTACGACGTGGTACGCACCGCCGGGAACGGCTCTTGACGAACTGATGCTCCACCTGCACCTCGTTGGAGTCTCTTGCAGCGGTAGGCTTTCCAACTACAGCCACTGGGACTCCCTGTCGTTACCGGCACACGGTATAACCATCCGAACCTGGTGCAGTGCGAGCATGGGCGGGCTCGACCCTGATGAGTTCGAGCCCGACCAGGCGACAAGATTGATCGAGCTGCATAATGCGCTGGGTCTAAAGTTCTACCGTGGTGTTTTGGATTTTCGAGTGTCGAGCCAGTACAGCCAGTCTCTTCTCGCCCTCCTTGAGGTATGCTGGCGAGGGCCTATCGTCGGGGCGGAGGACGTGTCCGGGAGTTCATACGGGAGGGAAGACTGGCAGTGTGACATCAACGGGGCACACACGGCGGCTCTGATGAACATGGAGACGGTGCCCGTTTTCGGCCACATGGACGAAGTGGAGGAGTTCGATGGACACGATATTGAGGATTGGACCCTGTACATTATAGAATTGGATGCACTCGACGAGCCAGACGTTTTCCTGAACGCGGATGTGACGCCAGTCTTCGGTCGAAACTATAAGCGATACCTCGACCTCATCGACACCGCGCCTCGTCATAGAGTCACCCACTTCGTGCGGCCCTCTAGGACCGTCGGCAGGTGCCACATTCCCACCCTGGTGAGAGACCTGCTCGAGCATGAGCTGGCTGATTCACTCCTCGAGGATGCCGACTGTGCACGCAAGTTCAAGAAAGGGATATTCGTGCGAGCCAGCGGCATGTTGCAGCAGAGATACGCAAACAGGATAGATGCCGTCATGGTCACGAGCTGTGACGAGGCTTCGGCTGTGGGTGGAAAAGTCGTCCCTGTCCTGTGCGAGGTCGATCGCGCGAAGGCCGAGCTTCGGACGGGACAAGGGGAGTTTGGAATCGAGGCACTTCGCACCGGTGATGCATACCTTTGTTTCGACGCAGAACGGACTTGGTATAGAGATGGCTTCTGGGCGTTAGGTGCGCTCATTCTCGACGAAACGCGATTGCGAGTGTTGGAGGCGAGGAACGCTCTCGAATCGTGCGGCGCGTCCGACTTTAGTTACCAGTGTGACGCAGTCTTCTTCAGGGGACCTTGCTCGGTTCGGGAGGAGATGAGACTCTGCTTCGGCCATTTGTTTAGCGGCGACAAAAAAACTCCGGCACTCTCAAGTTCGAACCAGCCTTAAAGAACCCGCTGTGTGGCGAGAGGAGGGTGTTCGAAGGCATCGAGGTCAAGCTATCACTTGATACGCTACCACCAGCCATGAGGCAAATTCCTTGCCCACCGAAGCCCCATCTGCAGGTCATTCCTCTGTGGGGTGGCGTCGGCGCCGGCTTCAGTTCGATGGGAGACGCGCACAACGCCTGGTGTTCTCTAGAGAAAAGCACCAAGCGCAATCTGTGGCCGGAAATATGCGAGGCCGAGTCACCTTCGAAACTAGAAAGTTTACTCCGCGGCTTGTTGTCTCAGCAAGGTTCAAGAGTGGTGTGTGCGGTGACCGGAGAACACGGAGGGGCGGGGAAGAGTTATTGTGCCTTCCGCGCTGCGAAGAAAATCTTTAAGACGGGGCTGGTCGTGACCCTCACCAATAGTCTGAGAACGTCCTTTACAGACATGCCATCCGGATGGAGTGTAAAGACCGCCGATCACCAGCTCGGTTTCTATCTAGGTAATGATTCAGAAATGAGGAAGACGGCGGGGTCGATACGAACGCTCAAGGTCGACGTAATCATCATTGAAGAAGCTGCCTATATGCCTCTGCGGACCTTAAGCATGATCCTGGCCGCTGCTCGTTGTAGCGGTACCCACGTGATCGGGACGTACGACACGCACCAACTCCAGCCCGTTTGTGAGAGCAGTGGCATGTCGATTAGCAGCGACAACGTCGACAGGAAAGTCATCCTCGAAAAGGCCTTCCCCACATGTTTTCACGTCTTCGCGCGCAAGCGGGATAAAACTACCGAAGAACAAGTGGAGATGGACGACGGTCTCTTGTACATTCTGGCCGCAGGAAACAACAGTCAAGAGGCGCAGACTCGAGCCATCGAGAGGTTTGGTCGTGAATGTCCAACGGGCAACGACCCTAGCCCTTCAGAATTTCACCTCGCTTACACTAGAGACTGTGCTCGATTCCACGCCTTTCGAGGTTTGCCGGGGTGCAACGCACCTGGTGGCTGGGATGCGCTGGGGCGTACAACGGTTATCGGTGCACAATACCGGGACCTCGGGAACCTGGGCAAGATTCACAAGAATCACACCTACAACATCGTTCGATCCTCAGCAGATGAGATCGTTGTCGCGAGCGCATTCGACTGTGCCGTCAGTCTGGAGGAGACGTCACTTTGTAGAGCGGTGGCAGAAAACTTGTTCGACCCCCCGGGATCATGCACGGTACACGCCGTCCAAGGCCGTACGGTGGAAGGGAGGCTGATCATACACCAGGCTCGACACCGTCACGCTGACGTGCACTGGCTTTACACGGCGGTCAGTCGAGCGACCGGACCGTCGAACGTCAGGGTCATCGACGATGCTCACCGCCGCGATAGCAACATGTCCGACCGAGAGAGGGCTTCGTGGGTTTCTAGGAAGGTTTCCAGTTATATCTACGCCGACATTGCGTCCGGGCGTCTTGGATCTGATGAGGGGGGACAGCATAGAGAAGCTCTCGCCCAAGAACTACACCGCGCCTATCGGGGGACGTGCAACTTTTGTCACCATGAACTGGTCTGGGCCGTTTACAGCGAACGCCAGCCGACTCTAGACCGTCTTGACTGCGCTTTGCCTCACACGATCGGTAATGTGGACGTGAAGTGCTTGAAGTGCAACCGAGCCAGAGGAAGTCTGGGGAGGGGGAAGTCAAAGAAGAGGAAGACAAGTTGATTGTGCCGTGATCGACACGTAGCTTTAATGCCCAGAACCCCAAGAAATAATATATGTGGTGTGTGTAACCAACTATCAAATCATGAACAATCTTATTTCACGGTGTGCGAGTCGGCTGGAGGAAAACAAAGACCCAGTACAAGTTCTTGATGTCTTGAGAAGCCTGCATCCAGGCTCTCTCAGCAAAAACGTCAGGCGAGTCAGGCGAGAATGGATGCAAGTATACGGTCCCAGCCACAACGACGGCGCTATCAGGAAGGACCTCAAACGCATACTCAAAGTCATACAGAGGAAGGCGTCGTCGCTGGCCAAGAAAACCTCAAGTGATTCAAGGAAGAAATATAGCTCGAAACAACTAAAAATAGCCGAGCGACGCATCGTTTCGTTTTCTAAGTTGGATTTGTTCGGCAAATGGGCAACGCGAAACTCCATTCATTCCCGGAAAGAGTCCTTCACTGGGCTTGTTGATATCGACGCGCTCCTACGGAAGGTAAATATACTTCCACCTTACGTTTCCAAGCTGGAACTCACACCGGAAGAAAAGAGCCTTCCAAGGAAAAGACGCAGAGAGGCTTTGGAAGCGAAGTGCGACAAGGGTATCAAAGTAGTGAACGCAAGCAAGCTCATCGATCTCATGGGAGCAATCATCAGATACCCCAGAGCACATCATTTCGAATTAGCGTGCGCTTTGTCGTTTGCTTCGGGGTTGGGGCTGCCTGAGCTTGTTGGTAGTGCTGTTCAATTTTCGCCCAGTTGTCATGGCACCCACGAAGTAGATATCAAGCTGGGTGGTGTTGAGGGACACCCGAAAGGAACCACCTGCCGGGTACCATTGTTATGCGAATACGAAAACTTCGTAGAGGGAGTAAACAAATTACGTGGCATGAAGGAAACGTTCAATCTCACCCCTGCCGAGGTCAATCATCGATACAGTAAATCAGCAAATTTGTATGCCAGAAAGCTGCTTCCGGATGTCTGCCAGGGCGGTCATGTATTCAGTGATTTGAGGACCCTGCATGGGGCAGTTAGCCATGAAGTGTTCACGGGACACGAGCTGGAATTGAGTGATTGGGTCAAAGTTGCACGTGGTGGTCGGAGTTCTCCTGCCCTAAGCCGGAAGTGCTCGGTTGTGAGAGTGAAAGGGATCAAGGAAGACGATCACAGGCATTGGACATTTTGAATTCACGCTCCAGACGTCTTATCGTCATCCGGCCCTTGGCCAACCGCCCAAACACAATATTCATTTTTGCCCTTGATAGCGTAAACACCCACGTTTCGTTTTCCCAGTTGGGGGAAGCACTCCGTTGTCTACTCCATGCTGGCGCCTGCGTAGGCAACACGGTCAACACAGTGAACTCTAAACCCGAAGGCTCCTAATTGATCACCTTTGGTGACCCAGATAGAGGAAAAAAATGCGCACGATCGCACAATATCCACACACAGTACAATGATACAATCAAGTCACAAGAGAACTGTGTTCCCGACTAAAACCCCAGGCACTCGTTCATCTTGACCATCATGTATGAACGAACACACAACGCTTTTTGTACTCCAAAACATTTCGCATACAATGCATGGTCGAAATCCCACAGTAAAGTTACGAATAACCGCCGACTAATCACCTTCAAAACCACCTCCGAGTGAGAATATACACGCTGAATCTGCCGACCAAAATATATATATATGTATCGGACTCATAAATGATAAAGGGAGACGAAAAAACTTCAGTTGGCACGACTCAAGCTAATCTATGCAGGAAGCCTGCGGGTGGTCTCTTTCCATTCCCCATCACTTCAACGCCACCGAAGAGCCATTCTTCGTACAAGTCAGAGCTCGTTTTGACTTCCATGTATGAACCCACAACACCACTTGCGGTAGACATCAAATGTTCTTATATCTAATAATACAAATAATACCAAATCAAAGTTTCGAACAAAACAATCACAATCGCTCCGTCGACCCGGCTCATTTGAACATACATTTGATGACTGGGTCGAAATGTAACACACCAGAGCACCCTAACACAGGGCCCATTGACACAACAACATCGATTCGCATGCACGAACCCTAAACAGCCCACGGGTAGCCATTGACCATCTAAAGTACGGTGGGTGGTCGTAAAAAATGTCCCTCATGAGGTAAATTGAAGACACAGTCGAGCACAGGAACAAAACGACAAAAACACGAGGCAAAATAATTGTAGTTGGTTGTGCAAGTCTGCTCATTGCTCCGTCGCGCCAGCCATCTCGAGCCGTTTTTGCAACGTTTCCATGAGTATACATATGCAACTTCTTGCCTTCTCAACGTCACAACGCGCACACGTCCGAAGTACGCGTCAACATCGGTAAATCTCCACAAACGACAAAATTCAAAAGGGCTCACACGACCCGCTAATGATACATACATGTATACTCGGCCCAGCGAGTACGCACCGCCAAACAATCTCCCATCCCGTTCTACGGTTGTGTTGTTGTGCGGACCGGGCAATTTGCTACACGGAGAGAGAAGGGTGATACCATGATTGCCTTTGATCCAATCAAAGCCAAAAAGGGTGTGGCATTTTGATCCCCTAATGTTTCATTGTTCCCCCCCGCATACACGATAAACCCACAAGTCGAATACGCCGAACAACACTTGTTCGACGGCTACCGATCGCGTGTCAATCGAAATGGTCGAAATCCAACCGTAAAATCACCAATAATCCAAGACAAATCACATTCAATCGGGTGGCGATCGTTAAATCAACCTTCAAACCATTCCCCATTGAGGACACAAACACTGAATGTACCTGAAATCTACTACATACATGGTAACGGGAAACGTAAAAACACCACATCTCTCGTGTTCTACTAGACGGTAGATAACCGGATTCAAGTGTCGGTGATTCGACCTGGGCGTAGGGTGCTAAGTATGCTTGCCACCGATCGATCCAATCGGGGCCATGTGCCGATATTCTCGATATTTCTCCCCTCCAGACTTCATCTGCGAGGAGCGCTATCTACATGGTGGAAACGAGAACCCTATCACTCCTTCCTCCCCTTGGCGCGGCTCTTTGCCGGAGCGCCGTTGTGGCGTTGGCTCTGCGATATCCTTTGTACGATCCTCCTAGCGAGGATGTACTTCAGCGCCCAGTGGCACAGTCGCCATGACTCGTTCACCTTCTCGACCGGCACACAACCGCCGAGTTGGCACCTCGGGTGACCCTCAGTTTCAATGCTGCTGTGGACGGGCAGGATGAGGTTGTCGTGCTCATCGAGCTGCCACGTTGATTTGCCCTTCGTCACACCCGCCTCGCTGAAGTTTGGGATCTCGCACCCGCCCTCCGTAATTGGCCCGTCCCCAAACCCGTTTTTGCCGGCAAACTTGTCGTGCAGCTTCTGGGGGAGGCCAACGCCATCCGCCCCGAAGCCGAAGCAAAAGCCATGCGCTCTCACGGGGTTGAGTTGGCCGGGGATGGGCTTGCGCATTTTCGCTGCCGCACCGTCGCTGGGGGCGCTGCCCACCTGATTCGCCCCTGTTCCCAAGGCCGCACCTTTTTGTCACGCGTTGACGATAACATCCGACGAGAAGAAATAAATGGATATACATGTAAGCCTGGGATCATATACACAAAACGCAGGCACACGAAAAAAGTGACTACACATCAAAGAAACACGAGCGATCGACCTGGACGCGAAGTGCTGCCCCAATGCACGCAAAAGGAGGTGGTGTTTTTCTTTTTCGTGACAATGCCTCTGTGGAATTTTCAAACGCACACGAGCTTTCGGACGCACTCCTTCGTAGCAGCTGAGTGGGCGCGTTCGACGCATAACAATAACAGCAGCAGCAGCAGCAGCAACAACAACAACAACGATCAAGGAATGACGTACCTCCGGTCTTGCCTATGCGTCCACCACCAAGTCGAGACAACGATGGGTGATGTCGGGAAAACGAAAGAACGGGTAAGTAGGCGCGAGGGAGGGGATCGAGAGAATTCATTTGTAATAGCGAATGATGAGAGAAAAAAGAAGCAATACCCAAGAACAACATGGTCCATCGCACGCCTTGGTATCGAGGCATTCCGCTCATGAGGGAGCGGGGATGCCTTGGTTGCGTCGGGTGCGGGGCACACGAATAAGGGAGGCTCGACGATAAGGCAACAACAACAACGATCAGGGAATGACGTACCTCCAAGTCGAGAGAGCGATGGGTTGATGATGTCGGGAAAACGTAGACTCACGAAAAAAGTGACTACACATCAAAGAAACACGAGCGATCGACCTGGACGCGAAGTGCTGCCCCAATGCACGCAAAAGGAGGTGATGTTTTTCTTTTTCGTGACAATGCCTCTGTGGTAATAGCGAATGATGAGAGAAAAAAGAAGCAACACCCAAGAACAACATGGTCCATCGCACGCCTTGGTATCGAGGCATTCTACTGAGCTCGGGGCGGAGATGCTTTGAGTACATGGGATGCCTGTGCACAACTTCAAAGACGGGGGAGCAAATGACTCGACTACAAGGCAATACCAAACAACACCAACAACCTGTTTAGGATATTACCACACTCTCACCGGCGACCGAGGCGTTCTTCACGTGCTGGTGGCCGACGCAGGTGCACTCCTCGGCACTCTCGCACGAGCAGCCGGTGATGTTGCAGGAGTTTGCTGAAAAATATGAGTGTCAAATACACGCGGCGAGAGGGAGGGAATCATCTGAATTCATTGGTAATAGCGAATGATGAGAGAAAAAAGAAGCAATACCCAAGAACAACATGGTCCATCGCACGCCTTGGTATCGAGGCATTCCGCTCATGAGGGAGCGGGGATGCCTTGGTTGCGTCGGGTGCGGGGCACACAAATAAGGGAGGCTCGACGATAAGGCAACAACAACAACGATCAGGGAATGACGTACCTCCAAGTCGAGAGAGCGATGGGTTGATGATGTCGGGAAAACGTAGACTCACGAAAAAAGTGACTACACATCAAAGAAACACGAGCGATCGACCTGGACGCGAAGTGCTGCCCCAATGCACGCAAAAGGAGGTGGTGTTTTTCTTTTTCGTGACAATGCATCTGTGGAATTTTCAAACGCACACGAGCTTTCGGACGCACTCCTTCGTAGCAGCTGAGTGGGCGCGTTCGACGCAATGACAAAAACAGCAGCAGCAGCAGCAACAACAACAACGATCAAGGAATGACGCCTCCGGTCTTGCCTATGCGTCCACCACCAAGTCGAGACAACGATGGGTTGATGTCGGGAAAACGGTTGAACGAGTACAAGAGGTGAGGGCATACCACCACCAACGACAACAATAGGGGTACCCACCAACGACAGCATCTCATCCAACGGGGTCAAACGCACGCAACCGTATCAACACATCAAATGCACAAGGGAGCGGGGATGCAGAGAGTAAAACGGGTGCGGGACACACCAGTAAAGCTGTAAATGTTAGTATCAAGTACACGCGACACAGGAAGAGTAGATCGTGGGGAAAATAAACGCTAGCCTTTGTCAACTCACGCAACAGCAACTATAACATCATTACATGCAAAAAGAAACGTTTATCAGGGGCTAGCAGGGAAAGCAGATGCTACAAGGTGCGGAATCATCATCATCATCATCAACAACAACAACAGGTTGCATTCATACACAACCCTCACCGCCTTCCCCCTTGCGTTCGTTGGTGCTCTTTTCCGCCCCTCGCTCCTTGGCGGTGTAGTTGACGTTACCCCGGAGTGGTGTACGCCCGCTGTCGATCGTCCGCTGGTGGGCGGCGTGCTTCACTGTCTCCTCCCTCAACGTGGCAATCGCTGCATAGTTCGGTTGCACAGGGCGAATGACGCAGCATGGGCGAAAGGCAAAACATTTATGTAGTAACGAGGAAGATGCTGAGACAGCCCGAAATTGAGTGGGACGACGTGTGGTATTCTCGCTTCTGAACTAAACGCACCCACACTGCTACACCTCTCACACCTAGAACCCACAGAGTGGACCAAGAGAGCGGGGACGCTGTGGGACACTACGTACTGTAGACACAAAAATTATGAGCATGCGCGGGGAAACATTTCATCATCATCAACAACAACAACAACAACAATAACAACAACAACACTATCTCACCCTTGGTTGAGGGTGTCATAGTGACGCCTTTTCTCTCTCGCTTAGAACACCGGCAGCAGTGACAACAACAGCAGCAGCAACAACAGCAACAACAGGAGCAACACTGTCTCACCCTTGGTTGCCGGGGTCGAGAAGTCCCCTGATCGGCCGACCTCCATGCCGCGGGTTGTCTTGTCGTGCTTCCCAAGGTTCTTGTAGCCAGAGAAGCAACCCCATCGCGTCACCATCGCCACGAAGAACGGGCCGCTCCAGCAATATTCCCAGTTGCCGATGACAGTGACCAGGTACACCCAGGGCTCCCCGCCACGCGTGGACCCCTCCTTCGTCTTGACGAGCGACAGCCCGTGTTGGCCTCGTACCTTCGCCAGTCCAACCACGTTCTTGTTGAGCCAGGGTCCTGTCTGGTACAACGTGTCGCTGAGGCACCGACGGAAAAGGAAAAAAGAGTATTGGCGAAGAGTGCAAGCTGTTGCTATTGCACACACACTCTAAGCAAGTGGGAGCAAAACCAAACCCAAAGAAGACACCCGAGGACAAGCGCACGCGCTTTGCAAAGCGAAAATGCCCAAGGAGACCCTGACCTGCGGGCCGAGAGCACGAACGCGTCGTACAGGGGGATGATCATCGTGGAGTCGGTGACGGTTGTCGCGGCAACTTCGGGGGTGTTCAGTCTCTGGTCTTCTTCCGAACCGAGGACGACCGTACGTCTCGCCCCCCTTTGTGCCCCACCGATCACTCCTCCGTCGAAAGTTATCAGTACCTTGTCGTCAGCCTGTACACGCCCGCTACGGTCAACATCCTTCCCTGCTCCCGAGTCGTGAACTACCCTAACTACAAGCCTCGGCACCGCAATGTTGTTCGCGTTTTTGAACAGCCCAGCGTGTTCGGGGGATTGAGCCTCGGGAAACGCGGCCTCCATCTTGGTCTGCTCTGCTGGCGTCTCCCAGTGAAAGAGGCTGCCAAGCGCGAGGAACTTGTGCAGCTCGTCGCCGTACGGCTGCTTCGTCCGGAGGGTAGCCCTGATGGCGTCGTTTCGACTAGCGCGCTGGAACGAGGGGGCGTCCTTGCTGGGGATGACACCAGGGTGGGGCTCATCTTCGTTGCCGTCTGTCGCCGGCGGCAGGCCATAGTCGAGGCGCCTGCGGAATATTTCGACGGCCTTGCGGTAGTGGGACGCCGGGACGACCATCACCACGTCCCCCTTCCCCTTCACGGAAACGGCCCGCACCGCGACGTTCCCGGGCCTGGTGGGGATGTCCGCCACGAACGACGTACCAGTAGTGGAGAATGCCGTCTGTTCCCACTGCGGAACGTCGGGGAATGAAGGGACGGAAGGCGGTAATGTGTTTCGAAACGAAGCAATATCTTGCTGGTGTCTTGCTGGTCGAATGCATATGCCACACAATCTGGTAAAGCTGTCGATTGAAAGCAACCATCACCGACATCGCGGGGGGGCTGGACCATCCTCTTCGCTGTACAGTACTCACGATCAAGGGTTCCTCCTCTTCTAGGTCGTCAACCTCCGCCACCTCGGCAAACGGCAAGTCCCGGAAGAGGTCCAGATCATCGCTCTCGTCGGCGCGAGCACGTTTTCGCGACTGGTGGCCACGTGAAATTATGAAAGGCACGCACATCACCGTCAGCAGCAGGGCGCGAGAAAGCGGCCTGTGGGCATCACTTACGTGTGTCTCTTTATCTTCAGGGTTGATCCTAGCGATTTACCCCCGCTCTTTCAACGATGAATAAAACGTGGTATATTTCTCGTTGGCGTCTTCATCGTGAAAGGCAGAAAATACGGAGCATGATACATGACAAAACCATCTCCGAATTTCGAACTCCCCTGGAGCAACTAAGTTGACGCACGGCAATCTTGGTATCGACAGCCTAGAATCTGAAGCATGGAACAGAGGGGGAGGAAGAAGGGAACACAAGCAGGTGGGTGACACGCGGCCTCACTGGCGTGTACGCAGGATTATCGACCATGTAAGACAACGTATACTTTCCTTCTCTGGAAACTTGATGCTGTAAGCGGTGGGCATCGTTAGCTCGGGTTGGAACGGAATGGAGTGAAACCAGGGTGGGCTTGCTTGCGCTTGGAACAAGTAAGTTCAATCGCATACCTTTCCTTTTCGAGTCACAGAAAGAACGGCGTTCATTCTTTTGGCGTCAGATACACGACGAAGAGAGAAAGGAGAGTGTGAGGGGTGGAGGCGACAGCGATCAAAAACGGAAATCCCTTGTGAGGCGTGTTGGATGGTTTGAGCGGGAACATGCGTGCTAATTCGTCTGCTTACGATATCCCTTTCGGCACCCCCCACCACCCCGGTCAGTCGACGGTAACCACATACTTCACAAATCCCCAATGTCGCAGGCTCATTCGTCATTATTGTCACTCTGTTCGCCTAGAATCAGCCTAAAAATGACGCGCACAACAACAGCCCACTTATTTTCTGCTTGCACGAGAACGGTCCTATTCTGTTTTCGAGGGTTCGGTCACCATTTCGAAAACATGTTTGTAGCCCATGACGGAAGGCGAAGTTGGGGTGACACAGAAAGAGCGTCGGCGCACTCCATGTTGGTAAGTGAAATGGCGTGAATGAAGCAGGCCAGGGAGGGCTTCTGTCTACGCAATCATACAGAGAAGAGTGCACATGTACTGGAAATCCCCAAGAAATACCGAATCAAACGCCTAGACTAATGGAAGCAATAACTCTTTCACCACGGATCGAGGGAACTAAATACAGCTATGTATGACGGTGGACAGCAGCGTTGATCACTCTCACCCGTGCTCCGGCCGGCTTTCTGCCCGTGTTGGGCGAGGCGGCGGGGGAAAGTGGAGGGCGTCGAGTGGATGCCTTTCTCGGCTCCCTTGGTGATTCGAAGGCCTATTGGATGCAAGATAGCAAGGTGCACACGGGTGATACCGTGAGTGTCGTAAGCGGACTGTGTATGTCTGTTGAGTACAGTGAAGATTTCGGGGATTTTTAATGACACGATGTGAGCACCACAATCGGCATAGGGGTTATGCGTCTGTATATCATTCGCCACTCTTACATCTTCGCTTGGTGGCGTGTTCCAGTTGTCGTCTGTCCCCCGCTTCGTTGGCGTAGTCTCGGGATGTGCCATCGCGGTCCTGGTGTTTGGAAGCAGGCAGTCGGATGCGCGGAAGCAAACAGCGTTCAGTTTCGTCGACGGGCGTTGTTGTCCATCCAGTTTCGCTTGATGTGAGTGGAGTCTAGTGAATGGGCTCGTGGAGCCCAGTGAATGGGCTCGGCGCCCCCCAATGTGTTTGACTACATACAGCACTTGGTCAACAGTTGAAGTGATTTTATATTCGAAACCGCCCCTCATCGCTACAGGACAGTCTGGGTTGAACCAGTGTAAATGAATGTTGTTCACGCAACAAGTTTGGCGATTAAGTGTAGACTACATTGTCATTTTCTCGTGGTGATACGTTCCAAGCCCTGTTCCAACCATTGTGGTACCGGGACTGTGCTGATGCAGTGAAAGCGTAAGTTCGACTTCAAGCTACGGGGGAAAAGTTGTACAGTATGGCTTGAATATCTTTGGTGTGCGGGGAGAGAAACGAAGAGGGAGACAGAGAGGGCAGACAGATGACGGACAAAGAGACAGACCGAGCGAGGGGAGAACGGGACGGTACTACGAAATCACCTGTTCGCCGAGGGGTCCGAGCGGAAGCTTCTGCAGCTATGAATACCGAGGGCAAAACTTGAGCGGGGCAGCAAACGGTTGCCAACGCCCTTGTCGAGCACACACTTGGTGGTGCGCTCTTCGGGATGTGTGACAAGAAACAGCCGAATCTACTACGCTGCGAAAATACGCGTAGATGTGCAGGCTGGAGGACGACACACACCCGGCCTTTTGATTTGTAAAGGAGCAAACCGAGGTCATAGTATCCCCCTGAACTCTCAGAGCACTGCTGGGTGGGCTTTTTGCCTGGGTACTATGGCACACGAGATCCAATGACCACGGGAAGCGTCATTGAAGGGCAGAAACATCTCCGACCGACATGCACTGTTTGAAATTCAACTTGTGTTGATGATCGCTGCTGCGAGTGCAGCCTATGAGCAGGGGAACGTGCTGATGTGACAACCCTCGAGAAGAGTACCAGATGAACCATCAGGACAACAGCTCGTTTGGGCTGGACACGCGGGTGTGCGGCCTCGCCACTGCTGTTGCATCACACATACACAGATCCCTCCGCGATGAATCTGCTTTGTAGCGAAAGAAACTCTTAAACTCTCTCGCTCGCTCTGTCTCTCTATCTCTCACTGTCTGCGTGTGTGTCGTCCAAGTGAACCTCTCCCTCATGCGCGGAATGCAGGGAGGCGGAAAGCCACACTGCCCTGCTCACCTGTACTCTTGTTCGTTGGTGGGTCGTAGTGATGGTTGTTATCTGCGGTTGCGCGTTTTGGGAGGTGGGGGCACAGAGGACAGGAGTCGACGGGGTACCCACCAATGTATATTCAAAAATTCAAACGTGTTTCGGAGGTCGCATGCAATACCGAAGACGACTACAAGGCGTAGGCGAATCCACCGGATTTTTATCAGTGACGGCCACCTTCGCCTCAGTCACATGAAGAAGGTTCCGCGGATACGGTTATAGTCTAGCAGTCATGTTAAGAATCACTTATGAAGAAGTTGGAAGGATAGTCTATAGTCTAGACACAGCAGTAGTAGAGATTACGTATATATTGAAAGTGAGCCTCTCTCGAGCAGGACGAAAACAAGGAGAGTAACAGGGGTGACACATCAGGCGGTGATGATCTGTATACCTATCCCTCTTAACAGCAGTTATTACTTGCTGTTCAATGACAACCAAAGTGGAGTCCTCGACCGGGGTGCAATATAGAGAGAGGTGGGGTAATGAGCGGGTGTGACTGCTGTGTTTTCCTGTGACGATTGTTTCGCATCAAGATTTGCCTCTCTCTCCTGCGTATGTGTGTGCAATTTTCTGAAAAATCCGTCCACCCGTCCGTCATGTGGATGTGGTCGGTAAAGCCTGGATCGATTCACGCGACAACTCGCTCATCCGGCACGATCGATGCTTGATGGGGTTTGGTTCCTTCGATAGTCCCGCAGGGCACGAATGAAAGCATCCGTGAGGTCGGCGATGCGTGGATGATGTTGTTGTTGTAGGTGGGCTCATCAGTTCATCAATCATCAGTCACCCACGGCGAATTTGAATTTTTCGAGATTTCACGAGAAGTGACGTCACAACCGTGGCTGACGTCATCGGTCGACCATGGAATTTTCGACCAAAGGAAATTTCCTGTCAAAAAAATTGACCAATCAGAAAACTGCGGGCACCTTTTCTCTCTCTCTCTACCCTTTTCTGCTAATAATAGTGGGCGTGTTCTTTAGATCTTCCTCTTGCCTCGCATGGTCGTCGCAAGAGGCAGTCGTTCCGTCCGTGAAGAAAAATAAATAACGACAGGTCAACACGAAGTAGATACAGAGCAGAGATTACATGGCGGAAAGGGAAGAACAACATTGTCGCGGTGCCAACGACGGGGAGGACAAAGCAAAAAAGCAAAAACACGTGCCTTGACAGGCAAGCTGCGCTCGACAACGCACACAATTAACAAACACGTACTTGTACGTTTTCATTTTTTCATTGGTTTGTTCACAAAAAAAAAGAAAGAAAACAAAAAACAGAGGACAAAGAAACAGCCAACAAAGCAGGCACGCAGCAGGCAGGTAAAAACACGTACCGCCCGCACATACGCACGTACGTTCAAATCGATCTGTCCGCGTGTGACCAAAACCCGAAACATGACAGGTGCGACATGGGGGACCCCAACATTATATTTTTACTTTACATACGCGCACGGACCTTGCGTTTCCGCGTATCCGAACCCGAGATAACGCCCCCCGTCCCACAACGATCTCTTGCAGAGCCCAACAGTAAACCGCACACCGAGAGCTAAAGCAGGCAAGCTGGGAAGTAGTGATAGCAATGGCGGGGGGGGGGGAGTTGAGACCCAGACAGCTAAGCCGGAAAACCGTAAAACCACATTAATTGCATTAACTAGCACGAACAGCAGCGAGGACGTGGAAACAAGGCTAACATACTGTGAACAAGAGCTAGCTGCTTAAAAATATGGACGGATCAGACATACTATGGTCCTCAACTGAAAGTCGAGGAGAGCAAATGAACATGGGAAAAACGAAAAAACGAAAAACATAGGGAGGGACACAGCAGCATGGAAAAGGAAGGCACAACGCGGCTCGCTACCCTTATACGTCTCCCTAACCCCCCGACATACGCCGCTACAAGACAGCAAGACCAGCTACTCTTCGCCGGCAATCTGTTGTAGTTTTCAACGGACGCGCGTGATACAGCAGTACAGCTACGGTACAGTCAGTTTCCGGGGATGCTCCTCTAAGCAAAACAAAAAGCAAGGGACATTTATCTCAACTTCACCGCACCACGCACGCTAACGGAACACAGCAGCAACAACACCAGCATTTAGTTCCGCCGAAAGAGGAACGGGGCTGGGGGGGGGGCAGCCACGCCAATGAGTGATAGGCGCACAGCGCATATCAAACAAGGCGCGAACTTCGCGCGCTAAAAGACCCCCGCGGGAAGCCCCCACACACCCCAACCGCTTCCTTTCTTCCGTACTTCACCGGCATCAAATAAGAGTGAGAGACAAATATCTATCGAGACGTGCTGTCCATCACGTGCAGCATGCGCACGCGCGCGGCCATCTTCAACAACGTCCCTTCCCCCGCGCGCGGCCACGCCGGGGCTGAAGGAAACTAAACATTTCAATTGAAAAAAGCTCCGAGCTTCGTTCGTACAACAAGTGGAGGCAAGGTCAGTTTTTTTTTCCCAGACTGGCTTTTCAACTGGCCCGACCACCCTCGGGGGAAGGCCGCCGCGCCCTACACCCGTGGTACAACCTAAGGCGAGAAACAACAACCAAAAAACAGAAAAAAAACGAGGAAAAAATTTCGCCGTTCTGACGCTGACGCGCCCCACGATGGGGACAGACAGATTGGACAAAAGAAAAGGAACACGCCTCGTTCCCAGCTACATTCCCCCCCCACCCCCCTCTCTATCTCTCGGTTTACGGCCGGCATAACCGTGGTAGGCGTCTGTCAAACCGCGGCGCGATCAATTCACACAGGGCAGAACTCCAACTACGAGACGCTTCCGCTGACGGAAATATGAGAACAGGACAGGCCGTCACACTAGACCCTCCCCCCCCCCCGAACAAAACGATACACGACCGTTTTTACAAAATCGGGGTCAAGACGCGGAGGAAGCGGAAACGCCAACACACAGCAGGGTTGTCCTCGGGTCGAAAACGGCGCTAGGTGCCCCAACAGCTACCGGTCAACGAAAGCAGCAACAGCTATTTAGCTTAGCTCGCCGCGCCATCACTGCTGGCAGAGCGTCTTCACGGGAGACAAAAGCGGCGACGGCGACGGCGACGGCGGCAGCAGCTACAGGCAGCAACTAACCACGAGAGACACTTCACGGACCGAGCACGATGCGTGCTAGTCACATAAAAGCCTCAGGACGCCCTTTTCAAGATCGCACGGCAGGGGTCGCACGTGGCACTCTTACACTAGTATCCCCCGCTTTTTTTGTGTGTGGGTCTGCCTCACACACTCGCCACAACTACCAACGTAGCACACAACGCCAACGCCTTAGATCCAAGGACGCATCTCTGACAACCCCAAAAGCTATCAAGCCCCGCCCCCCCCGGGCGGGGACCCCACCGAAAAATCTTCCTGCCGCTTCCTAACCAAAACGCCTGCGCATATCGCGCCCTACCGGTTAAGCCTGCCCCCTCGTAAGTATCAACCGCGGAACGTGGAGGGAACCGAGCCTGGCTCAGACTCGGACTCTCCAAAACCACTACTTGGGCCAGGCGCCGAAACGGAGCCGCTGCCCCCGCCGCTGCGGCCGCTTGACGCGGGAGCGGCGCCCGCCGGCACCGGCCCCTTGGTGGCCGACGACGACGGCGCAAATCCGGACGCAGCGCTGCCGCCCCTCGCTGCTGCCGCAGCCGCTGCCGCTGGAAGGGCCTGGTTTGGTCTTCGTTCTTGCCCGTCTACGGTCGTCCAGGCCTGTTCGTGACAGACATATTGGGGGGGGGGGTCAACTCTAGGCTTTGTGAGGTGGCTCCTCTGGGCGAGTGCAGGAGTCGGTGGTATCGCACGAAAGGACGGCAGACGGAGGGGGCTTCGCAGAAACATGCGGGAGAGGGGGGAGGGGCATTTACCATTGGCAATTTCGCCCTCTCGTGTCACCCCCACTGTGAGACAGAACACCGCTGTTCCTGTCCCAACTAGACGGCATCTAACAACGGGGCGCTCGATGTTCACGCTTCTGCTATACATTCAATTCACATCGGAAAAATCTTGTGCAACTACAACTATCTTCCCTTTTTCAATTTTTATTCTTGCGTTGTAGCAGCTATACCGATGGCTCGAATGATGTACATACGCCCATGTCGCCACATGTGTAGGTCACCGGGGAGCGGGGTGGGATCTACTAGCCCCCCCGTCGTGCGGGCATTGCTAGAGCCCCCACCCGACACGAAAAAAAAAAAAAATACCTGCGGTCCATCAAGCGAAGGTCGTGAGTCAACAGAAGGCCGCGGCTCCTTCGGCAGCGTGGACGCCGCTTGCGAATACGGAGGCGGGCTGCCGAGCCGTGCGTAAGACGAGTTCACGATCGACGGTTTTCGTTCATTCCGCCGCCGCCGTCGAATATGATAAATCGATGCGATCCGAGCGCCGTGCCCCCCCCAAAAAATCGCCGCCGGGTGTGAGCATCAAGCCGAACCGTGGAACGAATGGGTTTGATGGTGTCGTCGTCGTCGTCGTGACCACCGAAGAAACGCCGCAGAAAAGATGGCGAACGCGTCGAGATCACCACGTTTGTACAATATGACGTCCATCACCGAGACGGGAGAAAGAGAGAAAAAACGAAGAAACATAAAAAAAAAAAAATGAGTCAAAGAAGCGGGTGGGGTATGGCTCTTGCTTGGTCTGTTCACCGCTCTAGCTGCACACACACACACACGCCAAGGATAAAGGGTAAGTGCCAAAGAGAGCGTGCCTCCGCGAAAAAAAAAAAAAAACGCAACAAGTGCAGAGAGCAGAAGCAAGCAAGGAGGGCGCGCGGGAGACGAAGGCCCAGGGCGAGAGAAGACGGACGGGGCGCATTCGCGGCACTCGGCATTTCCAAGACATAATGCCCGACAAACAGCGACCCACAAAGAAAAAAAAAATCATACTGCCATGAGGTCACGGCGACACAGCAGCAGGGCGGTATCTTCTTGCTCAAATAGCACAGGGGAAGTGCGCCGCGTAGATATTTAGTGCTGTAGCCCTCTCCCGTCGCGTCTTGCGTGTTGTGACACCTTGCTCATCTCTATTTTCAGTCTCTCTTCTTCCTCGTTCCCCTCACCTCCCAAGATTGAACCCAGACGCCTCGTGCGCCACAGCCGCGGCCGTGGCCGCGGCAGCCGCAGCCGCCGCGGCGGTAGCCGCCGCCCCTCCCATCCCCACCCCCACCAAGCCGCTGCCGCCCAACCCGTGCCCCCTAGGCACTCCGCTGGTGGACCGGTGCGGGTACGGGTTCGGGTTGTACGTTGGCGGCGGCAGCATCCGGGCCGCCCCTCCCGCCGCCGCCGTCCCGTCCCCGCCGCCGCCGTACGGCGCGGGGATCTGTCAACAGTCAACACAAAAAAAAAATATTGGTCGCACGGGATGTAGGATTAGAAAAAAACGGAACGGGGATTGGGCATCTCTTAAGAGCAAAAAAAGAGAAAGAGAAAAAAGAAGCAGCAACAAGCGGATCAGCGGCTTCCAACTAAGCCCTCCCCCGCCCCCCCTCACCTGACGGTGGCCGACGCCGTGCGCCACGATCTCCCCCCCCCCGCGCCCCGCGTTCACGCCGGCCGGGATCCCCCCGGCGCCGTTGCTGCTGCCGCCCCCGTTGGACGCGTGGTAGGACGTCCGATCGCTACTCATCTGGCTCGCGCCGAAGTGGCTCGGCACCGGCCCTGGGTACTGCGATCCCCCCAGGCTCGACCCGTCCCCATACTGGCTATGGCCGTAGATGCTACCCGACGCCCGGGAGCGTTGGCTCGGGCCGTACGCGCTAGGGCCGTACGCGGACTGGGAGAAGACGGACTGGCTGAAGTGGCTGTAGACGCTGGGGGAGCGCGGGCCCTGGGAGCTGGGGCCCTGCGCGCCGGGTGAGTCTCCGAGAGCGTCGTACCTACGGAGTGAAATTATTTTTTTATTTCGGCACGGCGTAAAATGGCGATAGTGTTGGTGTTGCGGTCTTATTGAGTTCAATGGGTATTTCGGGAGAAAGAGATGGTGCCACATGCATAAGGAGTCACCAAAGGACGTGAATGAGAGAGAAAACCCGAAGGACAGACACCAAAGGGTTCGCGCTTCTTGCCCCACAAAGAGAGAGAGGACTGGGCGTTTCCTCATTGGATCAGCCCGTCAGCGCGGTCTATGCCATGTAATATTGGAGCTATACGCTGAGACGAACGTCTTTTCATTGGCCAGCCTGCTAGTGCGGTCGATGCCAACAACAAAACACACACACACACAAAACACACTCACCTTTCCCCGTCCTCCTGCGAAGCCTGAGAGCCGTACTCCTCGTTGTACAGGCGGTTCTGCTCGTCGTCCCGGGCACTAATCCCGTCCAGCTCCTGCACCCCCTCCAGCATCTTGACTCCCGAACGGCCGACGCCTCTGCTGGCGTTCGAGTGGAACCCATGGCTGTCAGACTTGTCGTGAGATGCCGACCTTTTCACCGACTGCCCGATCGTGCCCGACTAGTTCGTTAGTTGGTGTTGGCGAAACGGAAAACAAAGGGTGGGGGGCGGGGGGCGGGGGGCGGGGATGGTCGGGGACGAGGGCCGCGAACGCATGACATGTTTTTTGTTTTTCGGGTTGAAACCGGCGTCTTGTTACAACCGCCGGGAAATTGGCCGGCTACACGTCACGAAGAAGAAGCACACACGCAGTCACTATTTTTTTCTGTCTCCATCAATGTCTCGCTGTCTCTCTCTCTCTCTCTCTCTCTCTCTCTCTAGTTCTCTCACCTTCACCCTCGTCATGGCTCCTGGCGTAGAGACCTCGATCTTATCGATGAAACGCCCTGGGCAAATCATCGAACAGAGAAAAGAAGAAAAAAAAACGTGAACTCCCTAGTTACCAGAAAGGGTCACAGCAGCTTTGCAACAGAACCAGAATACTAGGTGGTGGTGCTGGTGGTGAGTTACGTACAGGGAGTCAAATATGGGGGGGGGGGGAAGAACAGCAATCGCATGTAGTGGCCATGGGGAGAGTCGTGGCAGTCGAGCCACGGCCTTGAAAGGTCCTGTTTCGTTCTACAGCAGTAGCAGTGCAGAGTGGTCGTCCGTGTTCGGATGATTGTATTGTGGCCTCGAAAAAGTCTTGCGCCGTCAATGCATACAGTAGTGCAGGAACCAAGAGAGATGGGCGTCGTCGTGCATAGCCCCTTCTGATTCACGCCGCCGTCTTACGTGCGGTGAGCAACACCGGCTTCCTCTGCGAGTGCTGCTACTGCTACATACCACCGACGCTACCGTACACTACGAAAGCCACCTTGCGCGCTGGTGTCACGCCTCGCCCCCGTGCGGTGTCCCTTCCCTCGTACCGCCCCCTGCAACCCTGCAATTGTCAAATTTCACCTCTTCTCTTCCGTCTCGCTTTGCACCACACCACAATCCTGCTGCCGCTAGCTGTACATACAGATTGCGCCTTGACTACGAGACAAGACATCCATGCTGCTTTTTGACTCGAAGCAGAGCAGATCACCACCACGTTTAACTCTACCAAGCTCCAGTCCAGCCAAACCGCCCCCGCCCCCCCCCCCCCCCCGTTTGCAATCGAGGTTGGGTTCTCGTCGCTTGGCAACGACCGTTGTAAAACAAGCCGTCGCCCCCGGTGTTCGCCATTGGGGTTGGGTTTTCGTCGCTTGGCAACGACGTTGTAAAACAAGCCCCGCCCTCGGTGTTTTGCCATCGGGATTGGGTTTTCGTCGCTAGGCAACGACGTTGTAAAACAAGCCAATTCACTTCGTGGAACTCGGCAACCAGGTAACCGGGTTTTTTTTACCCGTTTTTTTTTTGCGGTAACCATGAATGGTGGTCGAGTAGATCATGTTGTGCGGGGTGGAGAACCCTCACTCCGCGCAAGGGGGATAATCGCACCACATTTTGTGTTAAAAATGGTCAAGCACCCTCGAGGCAGTTTCACAGTGCTTACAGCTGTGTCTGGAAGTGAAAACACCAGAAAATAAACTAAGTCACACACAGCTGTCATCCGTACGCAAGGAAGCAAGCACAAGATGCCAAACACCCTTAGCAGGATGCAGCGCACCCTTCATGCGACTCGCCGAATACATCACGGTGCTTCGCGCTTGGTGATGTGAGAGCCTGGTCCGGTGAGAACCCGGCGTGCTCCGTCCCGGCTTTGTAGGGATGCGAGGTCAATGGTCTAACGACTACGGCATGCACGACTATGAGAACACCCCCGCCCCCCTCTCCATCGAAAACACGCCCCCAGAGGTTTTCCAAAGAAACATGACAAACCAAACCAGACAAACGCAAAACACAAGCAAAGGCGTTCGTTCGATACACCACACTCTTACCGGCTAGCCAGGAGATCGCCACCACCATCGCCGACAGCATGAAGGGCAGCTGCAGGTTCCACAGGACAACGGTCGGGGTCAACAATCCGTGGGGGGGGGGGGGGTTAGCGCCAATTACAAGGTGAAGGGTGGCAGATGATATCGGGGCGTTGTTCTGAAGCAGGGCAACTGGAACAAGTCGTTAACAATGCTGTTGTGTAAAAGTACCATTTCGATGTCTTTACTGTACTGCTTTGGTTCGGCTTTCTCTTGCGGCAGTGGATGCTTTCTCACACTTCCTTCTGAGGGGCTCACGGGGGGATCGTCGGTCGGCATAGTATCGCCACGATTGGACCTCGTCAGACAATCCGGGGCTCATGTCGTGAAAATTAGGTCGCGGGGACTGGCTCTATTTCCCGGGGATGCCTTCGGCAAATAGACATCCCGAACAACCCAGATGCTGGAACCCATGAACCGGGGTATATACGCCATTGTTGGCGACTTGCTTGCGGTCGCCAGTCCAACCGTTCTTGGGTTGTAGTTGGAAGTAGACACGAAATCAAAGAAACTAGCAGGTTTCCAGCCCTCAGGCCACATACACCACGACGCTAGGCCTAACCAGGTCTAGCCTACTCCTGAATCCTGAACCCTAAACCACACCCCAAGCTTGGTTGGTGTGCAGTGGGTGTAGGTCTTGATCGCTGTGCCCAAATATGTACTGGAACGCGCTGCGCGCTCGCGCTCGCTAACGCTGGCGTGAATACCCCTCGCGGGAGCCCACGAGACTTCCCAGACTGCCCACGAGACTTCCCAACCAAGAGAGGTGTCATTGAAACTGCCGAGGTGTGTGGGGGAAAATGCTGTGGGCGGTTCTGCGTACACACAATCCCAGCAGTGGTGTCATTCGCGTGCACATATGCATACATTCGCAGAAATAGAGCTCGCACCAAGGGCACCAGTTGTGGACAAAATGCTGGCCTAGAGGAAACTCGAGGTTAGAAGCTCTTTGTTCAAAACCACTACGATGGTACTTCGAAGCATGTGCTTCAGAGAAGCGTTCTCGGCACCAAGACATACAGGGGTTTCAGCTTCGCGCACCAAGACACAAAACACGCGGGCCTCCCCGCTCTACTCGCCTCGTCGGGCCAAGCCAGCGTCTACGAGCGATAGATAGCACAGCAGGAGGAAAAGCGAGACGAGCAGCAGCTGGGGATGTTTGAGCCCCTCCGGTACCAGCCATGAAGACCCCCCCCCCCCCCCCAACACAATCATAACCGCCGGTCAAGAGCGGGAGCCACTCGCCGGCGCAACTATTGCGAAGATTCCACCGACCACTTGGCGGCGCTACAATATCGACGCATTGCTTGCATGTAGAGCACGGGTAGGGATAGGTGGTAGGAGCCAGCCAGGTCGTCGTGAGGCAATCACGACGTGTTTCCAGAAATACCTTGTGTACAATATCTACTCATAGCGCTACTCGACTACTGCTGCGGGTGTGTGATCGCAAGGCTAACTTGATAATATTATCCCACTGAGCGTGGGAGATGCAAAATCAGCGGCGGGGGCGGCGGCGGCGGCGATGGCGGCGACACCCTCTCCCCGGAGACCACAAGACACCAAACGATGGCTGCACGAACTTAGATAAATCTACACGGAAATTATCCACCCTCAACTGCGTACCAATCATCAAGTTTATGACGTTACGGGGATGATGCTTCTATGTATACTCTGTACGCACGCGTGGTCGTTGTGCAGAAAAAACGCGCTAATATATATTGGTGTGAGGCGTTTTCTTTCCGACAACAAAGACATCGTGCCGCGCGACTGCGTAGATGACGTGATGGTAAGTACGTACCATATACCAAGGGTCTTGTTGTGTAGCGGTTCAAAGCAGTGGTCAAGTGTCCATCCCCTCAGATCATAGGAAATCTTGGAGCGGACTACCCGCCGGCTGCTATGCAAGTATTCCATATAGCGCACATGAGCGAGCGGAACGCGGGAATCCACCCCCTTTTGACAATAATACGTATGTGCAGCATCAGTTTGGTACTCTCAGATCCGGAGCCCCGGGGGCGGCGGCCAGTGCCACACGCCTGCCCCAGGCTTTTCGACGCATCGAGACCACAGTAGCAGCAGCAGTTACCAACACCAAACAAGAGAAAGAGTCGCTGCAGTACACAGCATTTGGACGTTTGTCAAGAAAGTTTCGGAAAATGCGGGTGGTGTGTGCACATCACCCAGGCTGATAAATATGATACTGCGCGTGTGTTCGCGTTTTCGGGCACAACCGCCGTTCTTTCATAGAGAGGGAGAGGGAAAGGTGGGGAAAATGTCGACAAAATTCGGAGAAAAGCATGTGGAAGGACTACTTCGCTAAAACTGGCCAGGCAGGGAGGACGAGTAAGGCGTGCTAACGCTACACCAACGTTCAAGGAGCGCGATGGTTTGGCCTCAACTCAAGGGTTTTAGACGTTTTGGGCAGAGGCTCTCACATGGGTGCTGCTGCTGCTGCTGCTGCTGCTGCTGTGCGTTTTCTATGTTCATGGAGGAGCAGAGGATGATACGTACATCGGCAGGTAAATGGTTTGAAAATGCTGCCTCTCTTTTTTTGCGCACATCTACATACAGCGGCAGCTCTTTGGGCATTGCCTACAAGTGTCTTGCATCCAAAAGACACGGCCTTCTCGCCCATGCCGCGTCTGCTCGCCCCCTCAAACATATCGAGGATCTACGAGAGAAGAATTTTCAACTCAAAAAGCGTGAGCAACGTGCATACGTTAGCGAGAGCGAGAGGAGAGAGAGACACAGAAAAGAAGGCGAGCTAAAAAGAGAAGGGCAACGCCAACGCTGGCACTCACCACTTTTGAGAACAGGCTCTCGGCTCCTGGCCCGTACGGGAAGGTCGGGTAGTTCTGAATGGTGCAATCTATCTCGCATGGCTCAGTCGTCATGGGTGCCTCGTGCCCTGAGTCCCTCTCTCCCGCCGCTGCAGGCCTCCGAACGCGAGAGGGGGGCGGCTGGACGCCTCTCCCTCTTTTAGCCCCGCCCCTTCGAATCGACCCTGTTCTGCGTTGCGACGCCCTCTCTCAATAATCCACAAAGCGCTCTCTTTTGGTCTCCGCCAAAAGAATTTCCTCACCAGCTGCACCTTCCTCCCTCTCCCGTTTGGCTTAGCGATGGCGAGTCTCTTGAATCAACCAACTCTAACCACCAGAACACCAGTAAAGCTTCCCTCTCCCCTCCGCTCTCTCTCGCTAGAGATAACCCTAGGCCCAGGGTAAACAAAGGGTTATCTCTCTAAATTCTAGTCAGATGGTCCCCGGCTTTTGAAAATGACCATCCGCCACGTTCTTCCGAGCCGTTGAGAGAGAGAGAGAGAGAGAGCCAATTTTCGTCCTACAACGCTCCACACCAAGAGGCGAAACGCCAAACCGCAGCGCAGCGATACACCCTCGACTTCCGCTTTCCGTCTCCCTAAGGCTGCCCGCTCCTGTTGCGCTCCTTGGGTACGAGGACTAACTGCCCCCTTGCCGTCCGTCTGTATGGTGCGGGTATTGTGGGTGTTTTTTCACTCACCATGCCAACATTTTTTTTCTTCTGTTTTTTCACTCCCCGATCCTCAACCGCCTCCTAGAGGGTTTCACTATCAAGGCGGGGGGGGGTACGTGAAAAACACTGCCTGCTTGTAGAGACAGCCCACCTTTTTCTTCTTCTCTTGTGTCCATCATCATCCACAGTTTGCCGTGTGTAGAACACACAAGGAAGACCTTGGTTAGCCCACAACTGTTGAGCACGCGAAGGGATTGCATGCTCGCCGCGTGCGACCTCGGTGAAATTGTGAAACTCTGTCCGCCGTGCGTCGACGCCAGAGAAGAGGGCGAAAGCGCAGCAGCACGCCGCCATGAGCGCCGCTGTGTGGGACGCGGAAAAGGGAGGAGCGACTGCTGCCGTAGCAGCAGCAGCAGCAGCAGAAGGTTCGGCGGAGAACTGGGAGCCGGCGTCGCAGGCTGGGATCGGCGGCGGCGTCGACTCGGCGGGAGGCTCGGGCTATCCCGAGACGAAGGACAACGGCGAGGATGCCGCCGCGAACCTTTTCGGGAACGATATTCCGGACGAGGACGGGGGGACGGGCGGCGACGGCCCTGCTATCGTGATAGCTTCCATCCCCCCGGCGGCGGCCGACGGGGTCGTCGGCAGGGGCGGCGGGCTCGGCACCCGGGGCTCGGCGGCCGGCACCGCCTTTGCCTCGGGAACGAGCACGCTGACGAAGCGCCGGAACTCCATGGCCTTCGAGATCGCCCGGGTGGAGCGGGCCGGCAAGGCCGTGCTTGCGAACCCCGAGAAGGCCAAGCGGGCCTGGGAGCTGTCCCGGCCGCGCTTCGTTGAGGAGAGCTCGGTCCACGGGCCGGCGATGGGAGGGAGCGGCGGCGGGGGAGGGGGAAGGGAGGGGAAAACGAGGGCGCGCTTGCCCCCCGGGCAGGAGAACAGGAACGCGGTGCCCTACGGCGTGTGGAGCACGAGCTGGGCGCAGATGGGCGACTTCGGGCTCGACGTGGGCATGTATTTCGTGACCCTCGCCCAGCTTGTCGGGGCCGTGCTCGTGTACGCGGCGCTCTGCGTCGTGGCCATGGTCCACTTCTCTAGCGAGAACTACTCTGGGCAGCAGGTGATGATTGTGATTTTTTTTCTCCAGTGTCTGCCTTGCCCACCTCTTCTCGTATTCAGCCCATATTCCGCTGCTACGGGTTTTTGCATTGCGGTGTGGGTGTCGCAAGGTGTTTCGTGTGGGCGTCCACACTACATGCTGTCGAGTGCTTTCCAAATTCCAAACAAGTCAGATTGCCGGTTCCTATTTTGAGGGTATGTTAGCCTGTGACCACGGGAATCGACCGCGTCGAGTGTTGGATCAGTACGGACATACGAAGGTACTGGGTAGAGAGAGATCGGAACGGTTTGTAATGTGAAGACAGCAACAACAACAACAGCAACAACAAATTTATCTCCAGTACGCCTGTGGTGCGAAAGTGTCGTGTTGCTCCGCCTGCTGCATGTCGCCGGTGGTGGCCACGCCTGCCGTCGGCCTCCTCTGAACCAAAGGACCGCCGTGCCACTGCTGCTTGTTTTCAGCATCCGCCTGCCGAAAGCTACCGCGAAGGTTGAGGCTCTTGAACAGGACGACGCCCCAGCGTACTATTGTGCTTGATGGCGTTCGAAGGCTGTTACAGCAGTACAGCGTGTATGTAGGATGTAGTACGGAACGCACGACAGATGGCCAAAACCCCCGCATTTTCCTCGCCGCCTTGTGCGTGTGGTTTTGCCTCTTCATTACAAGCACACAGCGATCGCGAGGAAAAATCCCCATCATCCCGTCATTCTCCACACCCTCCCTCCCTGCATTGACACACGGCCACTTGTCAAAAGATCCCTATGTATAGGTTGACAGGTGGACATGGGTACGTGCACTGGATGCCCTGGGCTAGCTGCCTCGTCCATCGTCTTGACTGACGTGATTCCCTTTTTGCAGGCTACGTACTGGTTTTAATGTGGTCGGATTTTTTTTTTTTCAATTTCCGATCTCCAGTGCGCGATGTGATATGATATCGTACCTCATCACCAGCACTGGGGCGGGCATTTGCTGTGTTCTACGTAATTTACATGCTTTACTACTCTGGTCGCCATGAAATTAAAGGCAAACACCGCCCGAGGAAGAAAAGGAAAAGAATTCCTCTCCCCCGGCTGGTGCTAAACCATACTACCAACAACCCGAATGTGTAGGCCAGGTGCTAAGAATCGTTGGATGGAAAAATCAAAAGGAGTACCAGTATCAAAGAACACCCAGAAAAACACTTCCGTTTTTCTTCTCTGTCGCGGACTGCTTGCCTCGCTCATGTTGGTGGGTGGGCTGGTGTTGCCTTGTGTCTGCCGAGCTCTGCCCAACGGGTGTGTAAGTGGGGTCACAAGTGAATTAGCAGCAAATGGGCGATTATTTCCCTTTGCCCCTATTGTTGTCGGTCCCTGTCCCTGCTACAGGTGCGTGCATCTTTCTTCGTTCTACTTGTTTAAAAACGCAACGGATTCCATGTGTACGTAGTACACCGACAGCACCACGTAAAAAGTGTCATGCATGGCTACGATTCCCCTGTGGGTTGCGGGCTCACCAAGACAGCAGTTCGGTGGCCGTCTTGTGTGTGTCTTGAGTATGTATGTACCACATGGTTTGAGGACGTTCACGAGTTCCCGAGAGATGCCGCAGTAATGGTCGGCCTTCGCAACTCCACCCCACCCTCCGAGACCACGGCCGGTGTTCGCATGCGTCAATTTTGAGTTTTGAATGTTGTACTGCTGTAGAGAGTTGCCGCAGTCGTCCTTTCCCCCCCCCCCCCTCTCACTAAAGAAAAACGGCAAGTACGGGAAAAAAGAAACACGGCAAGCACGGACACGCGTTTCAGCGTTTCAGCGGTTTTGTTACCCTCGGGCTCCTGTTCGCGGTAGTTCAACATGTGATGCTCGTGTACAACATCGGTCTTTTCTCGCCAGCACACGAACGTTACGACGACAGGATCATCCCTCTGGTGCTGTTGACATTCAAAGACAGCAGTACACAGCAGCGCACTTTGTTTGTGTGTGTGTATGGATGCATATTCAACAATGGTGGTTCCATCCTCGCAAGCTGTGGACGTACAAGCCTCTGGTGCGAGACCAGACCCTGACGCCCTGCTTAAGTTTGCTGTGGACTCAATATGTAGGAGAAATGAGGGGTTTCTCACGCGTCCTCTTGTTGGTTTACACCCGGGGGGACCTGTCACTTAAAAATAGTGTGAGGCGGTCCACCCGAAGTGGCATGCAAAGCATACATACGTAATGTCTTTCACGTAATGGAGGAGCTCTTTGAAATAGTGTTGACATGATTTTGCCACCAACTCCCCGAAAGTATTCTCAGCACCTCTTTCTGGATCAATCGAGAAGCGTCCGCTCGATTGGCGAGAATACGCCAAGGGTTCGACGTTTCAAAATGCTAGGCATCAGACAAGGTTACCTCGGGTAAATCCGTATTTTGGGGGGCGGGGAGACTATTAATAAACGCACGAAGAGACAGCTCAAGCTTCCAGTTGAACTCTTATCCCCGATTATTTTCGGTCATTTACCGCCAATTCGTGTTCAAAAACTCGATTGTTGTTTGAGGCTTCCCGCTCCTTGTGTGTGGGAACAAGTCGCGTCTCAAGCACCACATAAGCTTCTAGGCGAACGTATTGTTGTCTCGAGTGCGTTTTTTTTTTTCTGAAGAGTCCAAGTTTGTGGGCATTTGCGACACCTGAAACGTGGCCTGCTGAGCTCTAGCAAGAAATAGGGAACGATTTGTAAAGGAAGGCGAGCCTACCCTTCCCCCTTCGTAACACGCTCTCTGCTGCTAAGCATGGAATCATTTGGGGTGGAGGGGCGGGGTGGTGTCGGCTGTCTTGCGTGTACCCCACTGCTGCTGGGTTACACGTATGTACACCTATCCTCCGTTTTGTCGAGGGGCCGCAGCAGTAGTGCACGTGACGAAGTCACGCACAGCTGTTTCGAAGCGCTGGAACTATTTTCTCTTGTATTTCGTTGGTGCATCGCGAGTCAAGCACGGAACTACTGCCTTGTCGTAAACTGACGTCCCAAAGCATTAGTGTGAACGTTTTCTTGCAGCAAGTGCTTGGCGCACCTCGCACTGACAGCAATGCATGCTCTGGGTGGAAACGACTGCCCTTGTTGTTGGCGCATTTATTCGCGAAGCTCGTCGTTCCGGACACCATTCGTTCGGAGAAGCCGGAGCCGCCGGTGTTGACAGCGGTGTTCCGTTAATGTTTAATGTCGCGTCTGGTTTCCGCTGTCACTCGAGGTTGAAGTACTTTTCGGGTGCCTGGCGCTGCCGCTGCGTGCACTTTGTGTATTGAGCTCTCGTGGGCCCCTCCGGCGCTGGTCCCGTGCATGCCGCGCTTCAATTTTCTTGTGTCCTGGTTGCTCATGACACAGATCACGCGCCCTGCGCTGAGGTGGTACGAATAGGTTTTTTGCTGTTGCGCACCGGTCGTGTTTTGCTACCCGTGCGGTGCACTATGATAATATTCCGGCACTTAATGCTGCTGTCTGGCTATTGTGCGCAAAGATCGGAGAGACTTGACTTTTGAATCCCGTCCTAATTCGCAACCCCGCTACACCTTCCGTCCGTCGCCAGCACCTCTGCTGCCGCAACCGTACCTATCGCGTACGTACCGAAGCCCTCCCCCTCCCCCCCCCCTTTTTGCTGCACCCGCTGACAGGCGGGAGTGCGGGCCGACCTCAGGGGCTCCGCGGTTTGCACGGCCTCTAAGGAGGTGCTGGCCTTCCCGCGGGATAGCTGGGACTTTAGAGACACGTTCGACAGGAACGACTGCCCCCTCGACTCCAAGCAGGGCTACGCCGACATGGCGGGCGTGCTGCTGCTGTTCATGCTGCTGCTGCTCCTGGGGAAGGCGCAGGAGAAGGCCGCCGAGTACACCGCGACACAGGTTAGACATAATTTGTTGTGTTGTACGTTTGTTTTTTCATGGCTTTGTATCAGCGCTCACAGCAGCTCATACAGCGGCTGTTCATTTACAGGCTAACCGGCTGTATCTATCTAGTAGGATTGGCAGGGAGCGGGGCAGGTGTCGGTGGCATTGACGGTGGCATCTTGTACATGGCTGACAACGGAGATCGTAGTAGCGTCGCTTGGCAGCGCGAAGGCGCTCTCGCGTGTGCGTGTGTGTGCAGCGCCGGCGCTATGCGCGCATCTCTTGAGCAATGGGATGTTTTGCAATTGTTGGCTTGGTTGCTGGTTGGTCAGGCAACGCCGGTGATGTGCGCATGTCTGTTGAGCGATTGGATAGTGCACAGGTTGTGACTTGGGTGCTGGTTGGCCAGATAAAGTCATCGCTGGACCCTGCTCGCTCTTGAAACCAAACGCTTGTATGTATCGCGGGGAGGGGGAGGGGAGTTGCGCTACATGGCCGCGGATCGTATCGCTCGTGAGCAGGGCAGTAGATGTTCTTTGACACCGAAGGCGGCAACAAATAGAGGCGATTAGCGAGACTCGTTGATAGCAGTCATGTTACCATGAGATAAATACCAGGGTTCCCTTTCGGGAGTTCGGTGACTTGCCTACTGGGGTCGACGCAAGAGGTCATGGTCAGCTAAAGACGTGCCGAAGCACCACGATGAACCTTGTAGTTGATCCGTAAGAAAAGTATGCTCAGCCGCTTCCTCCTCCTTAGCTACTGCTCGCTAGTGTTTCTGTCTCTTATCTCTCGCTTCCAAGGAAAAACAACGAGTTCATCTGTTCATCTTCGTCTTCCGCAGACGAATCAGACTTTTTGGGCGAAGTAGGGAAAAACTCACAACGACAGCAGTGCTTTTCTTCCACGAAACACAACCGAGTCCCTTATCTTCCGGATATCAATCAGGCTTAGTGGCAAACAAGTCACAACTCATGGCTGTTTTTTCGCGCAGATCCACTCGGCCCAGCCATACACGGTGAAGGTGTCAAGCCCTGACCCCCTTGCGGACGACCCCGAGCGGTGGAGGAGGCTGTTCGCCCAGTTCGGGCACGTCTCATACGTGACCGTCGCTCGCGGCAACGGCGCGCTGTTGCGGGCGATGGCAAATCGCAGGGCCGTCGGCCGCCGGCTAGAAAGCAGCACGCCCGATGTCGCGGAGGTGAATTGCTTAGAATCGGGAGTAGTTAGCACAGCACGACCGGCATGCCGTGTGTTTTTGTTTCTTTGTAGACAAGTGCTTGGCCCGGTCTCGCGCGGGCTTGTAGAGGACAGATGACGCGAGGCGTGTGTGGAGAGGAAGATATCTCGTGCATGTTGAGGCGCAAAGGTGCCCAAGACCTGGGTACATTAACTGGTGGCTGGTAGTTCGAGCGCCTGCCTGTGGCATGTCGTAAGTGTTTTGTTCATTTCCGCTCTGCTGTGGAGTTATTATGGTCTCATGCTGTTTGTTGACGTGCAGGGCCTGTGTGACCTTCGTAGACAGCAGTACCTCTTACTGGCCTCTCCTCGTAAATGGGCAAAAGACATGGTGCAGTGGTCTCTAAAGCTAGAACAAAAGATGATACACACGCCTGAACACACGCATACATCGATGGTGGCTTCCCATGCAGCTATTGTAGGTATGCCATTGAATTATCTTTTGTACTCGCTCTGGCGGGCCTTTTTTTTTTGTTCTTGTTTTTATTGTTTTTACAAGTAACCTCCACTGCGTTCAGTCCATGAAGCCTAGTCTGACGATGAACATTCATCTTTTCGCTCCGCCGCGTGTTTTTTCTATTTTTTGTTTGCCCCCTGCTGTAGATTGTGGAGGCGTACAGGTCGGTGGACACGAAGGAGCCGCCCACCTCGGGTGCTGGAGGATGGTGGAAGGCGTTCTTGCGGCCTTGCGGGTTCTCCAGGGTACGGTATCGGCAAAGCGCGTGTTGCCTCATTAGATGGATTTTAATTTTTTACGATCACGCAAGGGACTACAGGGCACACCCGCACTCAAGAACCTCTATTTAGTTCCGAGGGTTGGGTTGTTACTGTGTTCTTAGGGTCATGCTACGAATGGTCGCTATATATATAGGTTTTAGTGTAGGGGATCTTAACCGGGCTCACAATATGGTGGTCAAGTTCTTAAAATCTTGATTTTTTTTAGGCTCAAGTTTCTTATCTTAACTCCTGGGTTCTGAAGCGCGGGCGCGCTCTGTACCCGTTGGAGATACGACCACAGTAGTCTTGTTATTTTGTTTGTTACAACTACTGTTCCTCGTCCTTTGGTTTAGTTGGTGTATTCTCCTGCCCGGTAAGCGCGCGCCCACGCGCGTGTGTTGCTCGGTAGCATAGAACACGCTACCACTCTATTTTGCCACTTGCCCGCTGGGGCGACGACGCTCTCGGAGGGTCGAACACCCTGAACGTTATTTTTTTTTATTTCGTTACGGCGGCCTCAAGCTTGTTGGTCTATGTGCGCTCTTCTTGTCGGCATAGTGAGCATCGACACTGCATCCGCGTCAGTTGGACCAGTGCGGATGTTGTAGAAGAAGGCACTCAGCTATACTTTTCGTTGTGAAGGCAGCAACAACAACCGCCGTATCCGGTTGGCCAGCAAAAACGACGCCAATCTGTCTGAGCGCGGTGTGATGTGTGCGCGGTTGGGCTGTGATGATGTCGCGTTAGCAGGACACGAAGTTCTGGGCGCGGGAACTGTGGGACGCACATCGGCAAGTGGAGGGCGAGATCATGAAAGGCATGCACGACCAGGGGCTGCCTGTGGTGAAGGTGAGTGAGGCCTTGCGAAAAGGGGAATGAGGAAGGGGTCGACGGAGATCGTATCGGGAAGGAAGGGTGCAAAAGAGTAATAAAGTTTAAAGTTACACCGAAAGAGGAGAGAGGGAGAGCGGTCGCCAGAGAGACAGAGAGGGGGAGGGAGTCGGTCACTTCTCGGTGCTGTTTTCACGCCGCCGGAATCTATACATACAATGAAGACCTCATCCTTTGGTTTGTTTCCCCTGCAGGTTTTCGTGACGTTCGAGTCGGATCTGAGCCAGGCGCGGTGCCTGTCCCACATGAGCCGTGGTATCCTCGACGCCCCTGAGGAGCAGCACATGTACACCAACCCAGACGGTAAGAAAAACACACCAAACATGTCCAGTGTTTTTTTTTTTTTTTTGCAGTTGGGGTTGGTTTTGCATATGCGTTGCTTTTTGGGGAGAAGGCGTTGGAAGGTCGGGGGCGGGCGCTAGGAATTTTTTGTGAGGAGCCTTCAGAGGGCGCCAGTATCTCGTGAACAATTCGCGTGGTTTTGTCAGACTCGCTTTATTGATGTCTCTTGTGCGTGTTGCGTTGTTGCCGCTGTCTACGAAGTCCTGGCTGACCCGTTGCCAGCGTTGGCCTAAAGAACGACGCAAACCTGGTGGTGGGGGTCAAAGCAAGACATGGCATGCCCTTTCGTGGCCTTGACCCGCTGTCTCTCTCCATTTCTGTGTGTGTCTTTCTCTCCCTCTCTCTTCCCCCCCCCCCTCTCTCGATTGCTCGCCGACGGTTTCGTGATGCGGCGTAACAGGGTTCAAGACGGCGCTGCACGTGATGCCGGCATCGCCCGCGTCGGAGGTGCTCTACGAGAACCTTCACATTGGCGCCATCCACAGGATCGCGGCACAGGTGCGGTAGATAGGCGTGTTTGTTGTAACCTGGTGATGTTGATGTATACATACCACCCAGAAAGCCCCTGCGTAGGCATGTACCAAGGTTTTTCATGTTTGGTGCGATCGGAGCGATCATGGGCATGTTTTTGTTTTGGTTTTGCGATTTTGGCATGCTGTGATGGAGATGATGGTGATGCAGAAAAAAAATGGATGATTCATCCTCTGCTCTATATCTGTTGTTGAAGATTGTCTAGGCAGCGCCAAATGCCAGAATGCGTCGATGCCTGCCTTCCATGGAGGTATGTGGTATGTCCCCGGTGTTCATCTGGCGTCACCCCCCGCCCCGCCCGGGTATTTCTCCGAGAGAAGGTGCTTACGTTCGTGCTGACGACCATGATCGTCATCATCTCCTTCCTTGCGGCCCGCGAGCTTGAGGCCATCGGCGTTGTCGCGACGGCGTTGGTGATTACGGTCGTGGATGTCGTTCTGCCTCCCCTCGTGCGCCTCATCTGTTCCGTGGAGAAGCACCACAACTCCGTCTCGCACGACCTGAGCGTCATGAACAAGGTTGGTGGAGTTATTGGGGGGAGCAGATATCATCACCGACGTGTTGGTGGCACTGAAGGCTCCTGTTAGGGGACCCCTTTTTTGTCCGAGGACAGCAATCGGGGTTGCTTCCTTTTTTTTTTTTTTTTTTTGGGTCGTGGGAACCTTATGTGTAAAGGTCTGCATTCAAAGACGAGGTCTCGTATAATTGTTTCGCTTTTTTCGTTCTGCCTTTTATGTCGCTCACCCTAGTTCTGTGTATATAGAAGTGCTGTTGCCGTACCGCGCTGCGGCTACGGCAGTAGGTGGTGTGTGCTGCTGCTGGATGTTCTACAAATACTCCTTTTTTTGCTTGCGCAACCCTCGTGCGTCCCTGCTGCTGCTGATGATGATGATGCTGCTGCTGCTGCTGCTGCTTTGTTAGCTTACACTGGCGCGCTGGGCCAACCTCGCGGGCATCCCCTTCTGGCTGAACGACCGCCTGGGGACTCTGACCGAGAGCAACCTTGAGCTGGTCGTGACGGTGCTCTGGCTCAACGCCTTCGTCCCGACGTTCATCCGCTTGCTGGACATCCGCGGCAGGTCGGTGATTATTTCCCTCGCCCTTTTTGTATTTTCGGTAATAGACTAGGATGTTTCCATTCTGCTCTTGGCTCATTTATTTGTTTTGCGGGTGCGGACTTGTTGACGTGGTGTTGATCGTGTTACGCGTCTGGCTGCATCGGCTATTAATTAAACACGAGTTAGTTTTGTGCTTTTGTACCTGGCAAGCTAGCGGTGTTGGGGTCTTCTCTGAGTTGCATTCATCGCTAGCTCTGTGTGTGTTTTGTGTGTGTTTTTGCTGTCAGCACCCGGCTGACCGGTGGAAAGACGTCAGTCTCGGTGCGGCTGAAAACAGGAATGCTTCTCAATGTGTGTGTTTTGAGATCGACGTCCTCCGCCTTTAAGGCTAGCGCCGCTCTTCTCGCTGGGGGAGGGGGGAGGGGCATACGTGAATGTCCACAGCACACACACACGGTGCATATTTTTCTTGTCTGGGTGTCCATTGAGGTTCTGTTCTATAGCAACCGCATTCCTCTCCCCGCCTTGTCTGCCTGCTGCTCCTTCTCCCTTCCGGTACATGATTTTCTTTTTTTTGCTGCCGTTGTCGGCGGGACAGGTGGTCCAGGAGCGTCCTCGCTAAGAAGGAGGTGCTGCAGGCGGCAATGGACTCGCACTTGGAAGGCTCGCGCTTCCACCTCTCCGACAGGTAGTTTTTAAGCCTGGTGCTGTTGTGTGTTGGCTCTTGTGTTCGCACGGCCCTTGGCAGGATTTTTGATCGTATTTTTGTGTTGAATGCATGCGCGCGTTCATGTTGTTCGTTTTCATCCAACCTGTCTGGTCTTGCGTGCTGGAGCGGTCGGGCGAGGTATCTCATTGACAGTGCTCGAAAAATGACGTACTTGTTCTCCCCTCGGGGTTACTAGCGACGACGACATGCGCTTACATGAGTAACCCCCCCCCCCCCCCCCTGCGTCCGACAGGTATACGGATACGACCAAGACAGTCTTCGCTTGCCTGGCCTACGCCCCCGTCCTCCCGATCGCTATGTGGATCGGCCTCCTCTCTCTGTCGTTGTCGTATTGGTCCGACAAGTGGCTTTTCGTTAAGGCGTGGCGGACCCCGCAGCCACCGGGCAACAGCGGCCGCGTGGCGAGGCTCGCCAGGAGGCATCTGGCGCTGGCCGTGCTGGCGCACTGCGTGTTTGCGCTCTACTACTACGCGGGCTGGCCTTTCGACCGCATCTGCCGCTTCGATGTGCGTGCGTGAGGCGCGATGCCCACCCCCCCCCAATCAAAAGAACAAAAGATAAAATAAGGAGGTGTAGTGAAGTGTGCATTGTGGTGGTGGCGATAGTAGCAAGAGGCGCAGCCTCACCTGCCAATTGGCGTTTTTGCTTCTTGCGGTCCAGCCGGTCGTGGGAAGACATGAGCCCCCTGGTCGCTGAGACCAATTCAATGATTTTTGCACTTCACGACAACAAGAACAATATGCACTTAGTCAACAAGTTCTCAAATGACGATGATGTGATGTCATGCCCAGCCGCTCTGATTTTATGGTTCCGATAAAGTTCGTCCGCCCCCCCCAACCCCTCCCACACACACGCGTACTTGTGATAAGAAAGCGTTCTTGTTTTTTGTCCCGCGACAAGACTGACGTCTTTTCATTACATTCAGCCGCCATCGATGCTCATTTGAGAAAACGCGCACGCTACATTCACGCAAGCAGCAAGGTTGGATAGAGTGCTCGCAAGAGGGCACCGGGCTTATCGAGGCCGAGACTCAGTCGTGGATGACGGGGCCGCAGAAGACACTCGTCGACGTGTTCTCCGCTCTTAACGTGGCCTGGCTCGTGATACTGCTGGTGTTCTACTACCTGCAGTCCATCATGAGGGGGATCTCTCTGGTCGTGAAGGTGCGTTGGTCGTACTCCTGCTGCTGCAGCTGCTGCTGCTGCTGCTGCTGTCCTGGTTGTTGCTGTTGCGATGTGGGCAATTGTTGTTGATGCTGGTTTGATGCTGCTTTTGGAAGCCGAAAGTGCCGGGGCAAACGGACCCAACGACTAACTTTGGTAGAATCTAAAAGCCAAAATCAAACCATTAGACTAGTCGGCGCTGACTAGTATAACGTTTTGATTTTGGCTTCTATATGCTGCTTTTGTTTTTGCTGTTGTGTGTCGCCGGTGCGATTGTATTTGTTGTTGTTGTTGGTGGTGGTGGTGGTGGTGCTGTTTCCGTTGTTGATACACATATCGTTCAAAGTTTTGGCGGGGCTCTGTCCGTGTCTCGATGGTGCACGAAAGCTGGCTGGTGTCCAGACCTCTTTTCATTTCTGCCTGTTTTGCCCGTTTCGTGTAGTGGGCTACCGCTCTCTACCACACTTGTTCATCTAATCCGTCTTGTAGTTGTTTTTGTTGCTGCTGTTTTGCCCACGTCAATGAGCTCACCCACAAACCGCGTGATTTCGCCGTTGTTGCTGCTGATTGTTGTACGCGTCAACAACAACCGTTCTCTCACCCACTCCCCGCCGTTTTCCCCTTTCCCTCCGCGTATAACGAAACGAAACAAGCAGGGGGCCCCGCGAAAGCTCCGATCGAGGCAGCACATGCCTTTCAGTCAGCTCACCAGCAGGTTAGTGAAATGATTTCATGGGGAAATTGATCAGGGAGGAAGGGGGTACGCAGACCCAATCTCAACATGTTAACCGGCGAAGGCCACTGTAGCGAAGGGGTGTGGACGCGCAGAGCGGGGGGGGGGGGTTACGATCGAAAACGGTGAATTTGTGCTGAATATGAAAGGAAATCTCCTTCGAGAAGAATGCGGAGACGGCACGGAAATGTGATTGGCTACAAGGGTGCGGGGGTGCGTGCCCACCAAGACGGCAATCTTCACTTCAAATCCCCCCCACCCCTCGCAAAACTTACAGGTGACTTCGTTTTGCACGCGTATGAAGACACACACGGCTGTGCTGAACGATTCGAACCTTATCCCCAATACCATCGGCCCCGCTGTCGCCCTTGCCCCCCCACGGTCGCCGATATGGCGATGATGGTCATTTGCCATTTTTCCTTGCCTTGTCTTGTCTTGTCTTGTCCAGGTATCAGCACGACGTCGATGCATACGTACCACAGATCAAGTCCTCGCACCAGCCCCTGCCGCTGCTGGCGTGCGACCTCGACTTTGTGGAGCCGGAAACTATCCCGTGGCAGGTGATTTCCAAGTTTCTTTTCTGGGTGATTTTTTGCGGTGCTGTAGTTGCCATGGTGGCGAGCGCGGCTGTTGGTTGTGGCCACAGAGTAGTACGGACGGGGGAACAGGTCTCTCCCGCTGCGTAACGCGTAACGCAGCATTGTTTGCGAGCGTTAATTGTGCGTGTGATGACAGCGACGCCGGTAGTACCCACCAACCATCTCCTTCACGCCGCGACTTTGTTTGTGTTGTTTCGCACGCAATAACAACGACAACGACAACGACGATGATGGCGCCATACATGAATACAGGTGGACGGGCACAAGGGCGACAGCTTCGAGGACTACTGCCTCAGCAGCTCGAGGGACATGCCGCGGACCTCGCGCTACCAGCGCGCCCGGCTCTTCAGCCTCTGCGTGCACTACCCTCCGCCGGCCCCCTTCGAGGCCATCGGCAACGGGTGAGCGTGGCCGAGCTTCGCGCCAAGCTCTCTATTATAGGCGATGAGAGGGGGGGGGGGAGCAAGAGTGACCAGTCGGGTGCTTGCTTGTTGGGTTCGATTATGTTTTGCCGAGCAAAGCGAAGGAAGCAAAAGGAAGCATTGCGCACGGGCCGTATACTTCCGTTTTGCATTTATTTTAGGTGTTGAGGACTATTTTGGCCACGCGTGACCACGCGAAGCAATATCGGGCTTGGGGAAGGAGGCGTAGTCACGTTTTGCATTTTCCTCGGGCCATTGTGGCCACGCGTCCCCGAGAGGACGGACGAAGCATGGGGGGAGGGGTGATTTTCGGTTGGATTGTTTTGAGACGCTGGGCTATGTAGCCGACGCAAAGAAAGCGTATCGGGGGGGGCGGCGGCGCTGATTTCAGTTAGATTTTTCACCCTTTGCTGGTTAGGTTTTTGGCCAGACCTTCCATGAAGGAGTAGCAGTATATCGTCAGTCGGTAGGTTATTGGTTGAGATCTCCGTCGTCCATCGTTGCACGAGAGAGGCCCCCGTCCCGTCCCCACCGCCCGCACCGCTGACGCCACGTTGGGAACTCCGTTGCCTCGCCTTGCCT